CCAACTTTCCATACAGATAGCTTGTGGGGCTCGTAAACTGTCTCGTTGGTGCTTGGGACAGCGTGCACATCAATGTGCTGTTTGCCTGTCACCTAGAACGGGACCATGGTTAGGGTGGATCTACTTGTCACTTGGAAATCCAAGTGAGCGTTCACAGCTGGCTCACTACCCAAACGCCGATAGTGAGAGACGTATGGATTTTGCTGTGACAGGTATCAAGTGAAAGAGGCATCAACGACACCGTCAAGTGATCTAACCAAAGCAATGTTCTGCCTTTCTTCGCCGTCGATGTAAAAGACGGGACCGATTTACAAAAAGAAAGCCCTGTCGAGAAAACAACGATCAGAATAGAAGGTTTCATCAAGAGGACTTAGATCAAGGACGGTGTATGCCCCTTGTCCGCAAAACCACTTCTTCCAACACTTTTCCTCCTCAAAAAGCCTAGCCCCACAGTAGGTACACTTGAAGATTTCACTGTCCCAAAGACTAATTTTTTTAGACTAAAAGCTGGAATATTGTTCAACAACTCTCCCTCGCAAGACCCCATAGGTGTTGAGAAATATGCCGAGCAAGTGTAGCTGGCAAGTGACGAAGGTGAGACAGCAAAGGATTATGTAACTGGAAAATCTGCACCCTTTGTCGAGAGGTGTCAGGATTTCCTTGGCTATATCGACCAACAGTTCCCCTGTTGACCTCAGGGTGTGTTTGGCTGTAACGCTTAAAAGCCGCCCGTTGACCTCAGGGTACGTTTGGCTGTAACGCCCAACAGCTGCCCTCTTGACCTCAGGGTGCGTTTGGCAAAACGCCCAACAGCCGCCCTGTTGACCTCAGGGTGTGTTTGGTTATAACGCCCAACAGCCGCTCTATTTACCTCAGGGTGGTCTTTGGAGTATTGTTTTTTGCTATCCCTGATTTGATTTGAGTGTGCGTCCCCCTATAATTCCTTTTAGCCGCCTGCACTTGCTCTTCCCGTGTAGTTTCCAAAACTTTCGGGCGTCCACGTTTGGCTTCGTTAGGTCTTCCGGGACATTTTTTGGGGGTTGAAACTGTCTGGGAGGGGGAGATAGGTTGTGGACATCCGCACGTTCGAGCGGCCGGACAGTGAAGTCAATTGAAGTTTTACAATTAAACACTTAAATTGTTGGCTAAGCGCACACAGTTGATTTTTTTGTTTAGGCGCACACGTGGCGATTTTTATGTTTAGGCGCACACGTGGTGATTTTTATGTTTAGGCGCACACGTGGCGATTTTTAGTCAAGAAATGATTTTTTTTGAGTGCATTGTTAAGGTATCCTAAAATGGACTTTGTTGAATTAACCTATGTTTGTGCTCTTCTAATTAGATCAAAGAAAAAAAGAAGTTTTTGTAAATATTGGGTTCATCGGATAGCAAGTTAGAGACTTTAAAATGGGCTGTTTTATAAACTGCACACTGTTTACGAGATGACATTAAAAAATTTTTAATTGCTATAGAATTTCTGTTGAAAGTTTTGATAAACTGTTACTATAAGTTGGACAACGGATTTTTGGACAATTTCTTTCTAAAAAATACCTGTTAATAATATATGGTAATCCAGCTTTGATTGAATAGGGGTAAACTTGGAAACAAAACTTACAAAAATTTGACTAAGCATGTTTTAATGGTTGTAAAGATCTTATAGTTATTGAAATACTGTACAATGAAAGATCGGCGACTGGCCGATTTTTTAGTCGACCGTGTGCGCGGACAGGTAACAACCTGTACGTTACAGATTCCCAGCCGACAATCCCCTCGCCTACAAATCTGCAGCAAAATGCAGATTTTAAAATCGGCGTAGTATCTCACTTGGGTTCATTAATCACTTTTCGTTAATCTTGAATCACAATCTTTCAATATTGCATTATAATGTCAGCATGTCAACCCTTTAAAAATGGTTGTACCGCGAATAAATAAATAAAACTACTCAACAGGTTAGGATTCCAAAAATATTATAATTCAATAAAGTTTTATTTAAAGTTCACCTCATATAACTTAAATAACATTCCCAATTTTTCTACTTTCTTTGACAAAGCATCAAAAGGGGTTTTTAAGCTCAGATCAATGTACCTTGTAACACTAATATACATTCAAATTTAAATATAAGGAAATAAATTATTTTATTACATCATATTGAGTTTGCTTGGCTATACCCAACAGTCAGTTTTGAATCTTTCACATTTAACGAACAATTGTAGTGATTTTAAGTTTATATCACTAAATTCTCTAATGACTTCTAGTGACTGGCTTGATGATTATAGTGATGTCAGTAGAAACCTAATGATTAACAATTTAATCCTAGTTATTTCTAATGACTATACTGATCTTTAGTGATATCATTAAAAACAAATCTAGTTACATCACTAGGTTTGTTTGGTTAGATGATGTTATTAAATGATGTCTAATGATATCATTAAAAATCAATAGGATTTTTAGTGATATCACTTAATTTTTTAATGATTGCTTAGTGATACTTCCACTAGGGTAGGCACTACGAAACTAACCTACCTAGTTATTCTACGGTCATGTCCAATGATAACTTTTGGACACTGGACAAATTTTGCAAACTTCCGTCCGCTGCTAATAAGAAACCCTAAATTGTTTTAATAATCCAGTTAATCTACAAACACTGATAGTTAACTGTACTACCTCTAAGTTTTATTTGAATCTCCAATCCAACCAACTGTGTTTGTGTCTGAAATAAGAATGTGATCCTGTTTCCAAACTCCTTAATATGATTGAAAAATATTTCACAGAATCGCTAAATATTATTTTAATTTATCGCCATCACCATTAAATTTACTGTTTACCAAATTTAAAAAAAATGCACTAGCAGCGAGCAGCTATAATATTAAAATGTAATGCATTGAGAAATAATCATATAAGTAAATTAAATAAAAATATGTTATTCCTTGGTGAACATAATAACACACTAAAACTTTATTCCTTTAGGACCCATTACTCCGCAGCGTTAAAATAAATGTAATATCAGAGAAATAATCAAATTTATGATTTTTCATTAAGTAATACCATTGACTATATATACCTACAGTAGGTATATATAGTCAATGGTAATACAGTATCTTTACCTTAACTGATTCAAACGATCAATAGCTCAAATTAAAGCCTATAACTGATCTTCTTAAGTCTAAACAATACTGGAGCTATTGATTTTTAATCATAGAAAAACTTATGAAAAATAATTTTTATGTTGGTTGTTCACTATGCGTTTGCTTGAAACTCGACCGATTTGAATAACTAATAACTTAAATGAAAGCCGGAATTTCACTGAAGGTTCTTAGACCAAAATATATAGGATTTAGGATTATATAATTATAACTGGTGAAATATATCTTAAATTTAAGTAAGAATTAAAAAATGAATCAAATTATGTTTTTTGGTTGAGTAATAGTAGGTAAGTACATGCCAATGCTTGATGTGAAATATTTGCATGCATACTTTCAATTTGAGACCTCAATCATGAAAATTGGTCTGGTAGCAGAGCTAAACGAACTCGGAAAAGAGAAATCAAATTTAACTCCCATAAGAAATACATGGGGAGCAAAATTTGTTTACGTATAAGCTAGCCAAGTAGGATTATAGATAAATACATGCCGATGCTTGATGCCAAATCTGTGTGTGCATACTTTAAATTTGAAGCCTTTTTAAGTTATTGGAAATTATGACTGTTATTCGTTTTGAAATAAACTTAGCTGTAATACTTTGCAATTGATCGAATTCGAGCAACGGAGCAACATGTGCACTAGTCTTATATTAAACCGTGAGATGGGTTTTTTTATGTCAAGATTCTGAATCAACCATTTGCACCTGACATATTGTTATGATTCTTGTGTAAAAAAAAAATATAATTTTGAATCTAGTGTTATTATATTTTTTTTAAGTCTATAGCAGCAGGCGCTATTATTTTATATGTTTTGTTTCAATATAATTTGGTCTACTCTAACTAACAACTTGTTTATTTTAATTATTGCATAATATAACTCCTTCGGCCAGATGCCAGATACAATTCTAAACAATTTTTCAGTTGTATGTGAATTTAAGTTAAAAGAATGCCTAAAATAAAATAAACAGCATATCTCTCCTTTGCAAAGCTAAATGCAAGGTGTTAAATCCTGTTCTAATGTTGATATAAAATTATATGTCGGCGTCGGAAATTTAATTTAAACATGTTCAATAACTATAATTGATATTTTCGTTTACATCTTTTAGTCTCTTAAAATTATTTTTATGTTGACAGCATTTAATTAATTAAAAGTTCCTATTGAGCGTTTAATGGTATATTTATTGCTTCATACTAGTTGCTAAAGATTGCCACATACTATTTTGCAAAACACTATTTTGCTGAGCAGTTCAGTTGGTAAGCTAAAATGAATGGGAATCAAAGACTGGGAATCTGAATCAGGATAACAATGGCCTCTTTACCCCACTCTTTCCTCAATGCATGAAAGTTTTGCTTAATATTCCCTAAAAAAATAAATAAATAAAATTAGAACTAATGGACAAAGTTCTTAGAAGCTGAGAACAACTAAATGCAAACCAGTTTATTTTTTGTATCACCAAGCTTTTCTCCGTAAATCTTGATTTTGCTGAACCATACTAAAGTACGAGGCATGTTTTTAAGTACAGTTTTTAAATTTCTTCTTTCCAGCGCTGTGATTGGCATTTTTGAAATTTGTGCTGTAGATGTGCATCTATTGGCAAGCCCATGCTGGAAATTTGGCAACAATCTGCCGTGTTTACATCTGGTTTCGAGCATTAAAAAATGGTGCCGGTAATTGAGATGCCACTGACTGTGAAGTGCGCGCTGTAATTAGATTTTTGACCCTAAAAAAATTAGGGTCAGATTAGGGCCTAATTAGACCCTAAAAAAACAATTTTTTTTTTGTTTACTCAGACACATATTACATGTAAATAATTTGAAATAGGTTAAGAACTTTATTAGTTGTTAAGATTAGTCGTACTTTTTAAATATTTATTAGGTAGCCTACTATAAATTTGCTGAAACACTGATACACGTTAATTGTCCCTTATTTTACTAGAGCATATTGAGTTTACAATATTTTTGTTATATTAGGTAAACATATAATAACTACATTGAAAGTACAAGTTTCTAAAAACCTAATGTCAATACAGTCAAGAAAAAAACTTAAAAATCTTTGCTCTTCAAAATAATAAATGTTCTCCTTTTTGTTAACGCCAAGACTTAGGAACTAACCACATGTAAAACATTTTCAAATTGAACGTACAGTCAATGGAAATGTTTTAGCCACACACTCACTAGTAGTCCAATAAAAATTTATTTGAAAACTAGAGAATACTTATTTAAAACATTACACCTGGCACTAAAACTAGCGAGTACTTTCTAAAAACACTTTGAGCTGTATTAAAGTTTCATAAATTGCTTAATTATTACCTGCCAATGAAAATTAAAAAATAAAAACATACTTAAATATGAAAATTAAATTTAAGTTACCTTTCTCTAAAAGAAAACTACTATGTTTAAAACACACTTTCAAGAGTATCAGTTCTAGGTCCTTAAGCTACAAGTTAATACTAACAATGTGCCATTTCACATTTACACAAAAACTAATTTTTATTAGCATGTCAACTTATAACTTAGTAATATTTCATATCATGTGAATCTATTTAAAATGAGTATAAAACACACATAAGTGTAACACACTGCTCACCCTTGCAGCTTGCTTGATATCAGCAATAACTTAGCTGATTATTATAACATGAGACATCTGGATCAGGGTTAAGTGTTCATAAAGATCATTTCGTACCTTGTCATAAATCTTATTCTTTCTTGGGCAAATCTAACTGTACCGCCTCAACGTCCACACTGATTGTTCCGTCTGCTTTGATTATGGGGTTCAAATCCGCCATAAGGAAAACAACAGGGTTTACTTCCAAGGGTATGTCTTCCTTGAATGTTGTCGATGGTATCAAGCTTTTGTAAAATAGTTGTTCCTGACTGAAAAACTTGACTTTGTAGTAAAACTCTTGTTTGGCTTTCTTGCACTGAACGTGTTTCAGAGTGTGGCAGAATTTGTTCCCATCCTTCCACACGTAGTATAAAAACAGCTCTCCTTCTACTTCCTGGTAGTAGCAGCACGCTTTCCAATTAGCTTTGATGTCATTGAACAGTAGAGTGACAGGCTGGTTGAATCCTCTGGGCTCTAAGACGTAATTCTCGTGTTCGCCTTTTACATGTTCTCTCCAATCATTGATAGTGCCAGTCCATTGGCACGTCTTGTCCTCTCCCACCAAACACTTGATTGGTCTGAACTCGCAGTACTGGCTGTGATTATCAAGGAGACTAACAGCACCACACCCTTTGTCTGTGTATGGACAGTTTTTAGGCAAAAAGGTCAAAAGCTCTTCGAGAATCCTACTGATGGTAGCAATAAATGGTCCTCGGCAGATAGAACATTCTTCCAGAGGTTCCCTGCATTTCCCACAGGTGATATGACCATTGCTGCATTGCGCCACTGGACCCTTGGCAATGTCCAAGCAGACTGGGCATTGAGCGATCTTCTCAATCCCTTCCAGCATCTGTCCCACGTCTTCATCATCCTGAAAATAAAGAATAAGCTTAGATAAGCTTGAAGTTGGAGTTCATTTGTTTTATTGGTTGGCCATTATCAAAGCATTATATAACTGTGACAGTAGTAAATTTAGTTAGAGTTCTGAACATTAAGGATATTGCAAATATCTCAACAAGTATACTCTGGAGACAGGGAATTTGGTTATTACACAAGCAAAATCTATCAATGAATTACATAGAACTACACAATTAAAGGATTGATTGGAGGTTAATACGAGGGCTATCCAGAAAGTAGATTAAGTTTTTGTCTGTATCCGCAAGGGGCGGGGCTAGCTCGGTCATTTTGGTGTCAGTTCATTACGCAGCTCAGTCGGCATCTAGTAGTGCTAGTGAGAGGTTTCTGCTGTACTCCGTTGAGTTACTGTGACAGTTTAAAATGTCTGTGTTGATTGAATAAGGTTTTTTTTTTAAAGTGCAGTAATAAGGTTTTTGACTGCTAAAAACTGTAAACCGATAGAAATCTATAGGCAATTTTGTTAAGTTTGTGGGAAAAACATTATCACTGAAGGTAAAGTGTGTCAGTGGGTCATAAAATTAAAAAAATGGCCGAACTAATGTTCACGACGAAGAGCAAAGTGGAAGACCCAGCATAGTGACTGCCGAACTTATCGAAAAAGTCAAAGCCGAAGTCCGTAAAACTCACAATAAATTCACAATATTGGAACTCTATATAGGTTTACCACAAATTCAAGTTCACAAAGTACCACATCACAAAGTTTGTTGCACAAGATCATTGCCGAAAACTTATGGTTACCATCAGTTTTGTGCAAGATGGGTACCGAAAATCTTGACAGAGAGTAACAAAAATCAGCAAATGGCTGTAGCACTAACGTTTCTGGATGCTTTATGATAAAGATGGTGACTCACTACTCCATCGCATCGTTACTGGTGACGAAACATAGGTCAAACATATGAACTGCGAGACTAAATTGCATTCAATGTAGTGGGGGCACACAGATTCCCTCCAACCCAAACGATGTCGGCAAGGAAGGTGATGGCGACGTTTTTTGACATGGGGAAGGTGTAACTTTGTGGACTTCCTGGAAAGAGGCACTACAATAAACTCACAAAGGTATTGCCAAACTCTGCAAAACCTTAGAAGAGTGATACAAAACAAGCGCAGGTGAAAGTTAAGCTCAAAGACCCTGTTGATTCACGATAATGCTCGACCCACACGGCAAATGTCAGTCAAGAAGTTCTTGAATCTTTTAAGTGAGGGTTGTTTCCTCATTCGCCATACTGTCCCGACCTGGCACTGAGGGACTTTCACTTATTCCCAGCAATGAAGAAGTGGCTGGCTATGCAGCGTTTTGATGACGACGCACAGCTACAAGCAGTGGCGGACTTACCTACGGCGTCGCCCCTTTGTGTTTTGCAAAAAAGGAAAGTTTTCAACGTAAAAGCGATATTAAATTTCCCATTGTTGGCATGCTTATTAATGCATTATTCAATGCAGGACATAGTACATTACATTAAAGTTGTATTTATAGGTTTTCATATATTTTGTGGTTGATGCAAGAATGAATATGAATAGCATTAATTAATCACTGCGTTCTTGGTTTTAAATTTAGCACTCAAAACACCTAACAATAATTTTACCTATAATAAACTGTGTTGTCACCTCTTTATATGAGTTGTGTATACAATGTAACATTTAACTCAAAATTTAAAGGAATAGAGAGGCACTTTATTTATTTATATTTAGTACTCAAAACATGATTTTACCTGATTAGATTCCACGAATCTATGCAGTTATTTGTTATACTTTGTGCATTAAATTAATAAGAACAAGTATAAACACGGCTTTTGCGATATATTATAATGACTGGCATTGTAATTAATACCGAAATACCGTAATTAATATAAGGGCACTAAACTTATCGTGGCACGGCACGGACCGAATTTTTAAGGGGGGGGGGGGTGCTCGCTCTAGACGGAACGGATGGACAAGACGGGACAACCGCACAATCTCACATCCGCAATTTAGTACAGTCTGCTTGTCTGCTAGCTAAAACAGTTTAATGGAGACTGTGAGATCAGTGGAGAATGGTGGGAGTTCCCTGCCGCCCGCCCGATCGGTCTCAGCTTCCGGTCGGTACGGCCAGTACGGCAGCTCGGAAACGTCCTAGAGTTCTGTCTCTCGGACTTTTTTACAAACGACGGGAGTTGCCGGCCGTCCCACAGTAGTGGGCGCACTCATATTATATTCAATGTTATTTACTTTTTAGAAATGGCCTTGCCGTGCCAAAAGACAAATGATAAACAGGCACTTCACACACACACATACACAACATCTATTCTGCCACCTTTAACTGCCACTAGAAACACAACACACAGTACTGGTAATGACACACTGACAGTGCTCGCTTCTTGCAGTCGTATGTCTGCCTCTGCATGTCGTGACATGAACGTGAGTCATCTTCACCGCTAATCACCATACGCCCGCCGCCGCGCCGCCCCTCCTAAGGCATGTGCCTAGTGTGCTTTATGGTAAGTCCACCACCGGCTACAAGAAGAAGTAACCAAAAGGTTGAAGGCAAAAGTGAATGAATTATACAATGAAGGAATTTCTAAGCTGGTCCGTCGCTACGACAATGCCTTCATTTGAAAAGTAATATATGTATAAGTGTGGCTTTTTTTTCTTAAAAAAATGTCAATTCATACGCTATATGTGTCAAGTTCCTAGAATGTTCAACTAAAACATTTTTATTTTTCAATTTACCTCAATATCAAATGCATTCTTTATCACTTGGACGATGTTTCATTGGAAGAAAGAGTACACATCCTTCAAGGCCCTTTCTCCATTGTTTCATTTATATTCCATAGTTTTCTATTAGTCATGTCAATGTGACTGTTAATGTTTTGTATATCAGTGCTTATCAACTGACTGATAAGCTCTCTCTGTAGGTCATGAGTCCTAAGCTCCTTCCTGTAGTTTTTTATGCTAAGCTTATTTTGACAGACTCTGTGTGGTTAAGTATTTCAGATCACAATGTAACACTATTCTTAACACCTGAGTTATATTTTAGTTGATTTTACTAAAACAGGACCATTGAACTAATTTTGTTCTGCAGTACCATTTAAGTTTAAGGAATTGATTTAAAATTAAATTCACCTTCAAATTTTCTTTGTCTTGGTGTGTCATAGTAAAAAATTACCTTGTTCCTACTTGGTAGACATGCATACAGTGAAGATGAAAAGAATAAAAGTGCCTGATCATAGCTGCACAAACAGTTCCACCTATCTGATGAATTAAATCCATCATTATCTGATGAATTCATGTTTTAGCCCTGAGCTGTGATATAACTAATAGTTATTTGTGTAACTAGTGGTGAAAGTGGCACTTTGCTGCACACGAGAGCAATGTTTACGCACAAGCCGCAGGCGAGTGTGGAATGATCTCGAGTGCAGCAAAGGCCTTTTTCACTCGTGTTACACATTATATTTTTCCTACAGTCACTATAAAGCATTTAAATAATTAGTCTTTCAAACACTATGCAACACGTTTTTAGGTTCAGCTGGCAACACAAATGGTGCCCTAGAGAAAGTAGTACCCGCGGTCCATATTACTCCGCTATTTTTCCTCGGCAAGAAATGTGCTCCGCGTTTTGAGAATATAGTTCCGTATGTTTTTGTAATTTGAAGTGGTTTCCGCGCCTAAAAAAAATGCTTAAAAGGTATTTTCTTGTTTATTAAGATCGTAGGAAGGTTTTAAAAACGTTTAAAAGAAAAGTCCAGAAAGTTCAGAAATACCGAAACTATAAACACGAAATGACAGGTTAAATCGTAGTTATAATAGTCAATCAGCTGCTCATAGTATAATTATCTTTAAGTGTTGCCAACCTATTTCCAACCGTACACGGATTACGTGCATAATGGAACCACGCTGTTTTGTGTTGTTTCGTTGGAATCCTGATGTGCGGCAAAGTATAAACCGTACGGCAAAGTATAAACCGTACGGCAAAGTATAAATATGCAGCAATTAGCAGCTTTCTGTACTATAAACAGTACAAGGAAGCCAACTTTGTCGGGTGACTGTAGGAAAAAATATGTTTTACCTTTCGTCTACAGCTCAATTAGTTGTAACTTGCATTACGGCCGTTTCGGCATTGACATGCCATCATCAGACATCTTCAGCTGAAGCAGCGTCATGACAGTAGAAACACATAACACAAACACATTTAACAATTACAAAAATAAATTATTTAACGGCCTGTTGCACACATACCGGTTGGCATGATCTGAACTGGATGTCGACTTGCATGAACTGTTCATGATGTTCTGATGTCGGCACCCCGGAGTTCAGATTATGTCAAACGTTATTGTGTGTGCGACTGGCCTTTTCATCTATTTTCGCAATTATTGTAAAATGTGTTCATGTTATGTGCTTGTACTGTGATGACGCTGTTTCAGCTGAAGATGTCTGATGATGGCATGTAAGCTGTAATGGCCGTAACCCAAGTTACAACTGATTGAGCTGTAGACGAAAGGTAAAACCTATTTTTAGTCCACCAATCCTAGCCATAGTTAACTTCCACCCTAGCCGTCCACTATGTATGGTGGCCCTCTTACACTCTCAGCTCTGCTTTTCTGGGATGTATCACTAAGGGGTTTCAGGTTTTTCCAGATTTAAGAACTAAAATTATATTAGTCATGGGGGAAATTTTTGCCTGAGGCATTATGATTTATATAGTTTTAGCGAGTTCCACATACAAGCTATTATCCAAAATCTCATGGTAAGACCTAGACTCAGGACCGATTTTGTTTTTTTTTTTTTGAGGTCTCCAGAGGCCAAAAAACCCCTCTGTTCTAAGAATAAGAATAAGAAAAATAAGAATAAAAATAAGAATCCTTTATTGTTATTAGACACAGTTGTGCAATCTAGACATTAATTGTCAAAGAAAGCTATAAACTAAAAAATGTAACAGAGTCATGAACATTTATCACAATTCATAGGCCTGCGTGTCCAGTAGCATGATAACTAGTCAAAATGAACCGATTTTGATTAAATTTGTCACAAACATGTAAACCTACGCTTATTTTAACAAGTTCGCGAGAACCAGCATGATTGAATTATGGGAATAGGGGTTTTCCATTATTTACCTTCAAAACATAAAATTTCATAATTTATTTCCAAACCATTTTGTAGAGGGGTTAAAAAAGAAATGATTTAGTATATTGAAGCATTGTTGTATGCCTTTCAGATTTCAGAAATATAATTATCTTCACTCCTAGACCACTCCTTTTTTTATGGGGAAAAAATGGGTTTTTCCCATTTTTGACCCAAAAAACATAAAATTTTGCAATTTCTTTTGAAACTATTTTGTAGAGCTTAAAAAAACAAATAATTTAGTATATTGAAGCGTTATAATGCGCCTAATGGTTACGGAGAAAATACCAAAAAATTGTAAATTTAAAATTCCCATGTTATTCTTATGGAGAATAAGTAAACTGTTGTAGTTTGCTTGTTTATAAACATATTTTGCCCAAATTTGGAAAATGTTTTTATTTCTTACTAACTATTAACATTTTACATAAAAAACACTTTTACCCTCCCTGTTGCAGCAAACCTAAGTATGTTTTAAACTGATTCTATTTAAATAGGGAATAAATGTGATAATTTTAAGGAGACATTTTAGTGTAGGCCTAAATCCATTCAGGGAAATGGAAATTCGCTTAGTCTGCAGGTTTGCTGCGGCGGGGGTATTTTTCATACAAATTATGACTGAATAAAGCCTACTTTCTTCTTTTATTTTTAAACGTTAAAATTAGAAACATTAGTGAAAACAGCAATTAGTAAAAGAAAATAATTTCACCAGGATTTAAAGAAAAGGGGGTTTACTACAATTTTGTGCTGGAACAGTAGCGGTTCTAAAGGAGCCGAATCTCCCCTATTGCACCCTGGAAAAAGATTTTAGTAGAAAAATCTTTCTGGACTCGGGTTATGATCAAAGTTTTTCGTGTCCACCAGAGACAATGATGGTGATTCTGTTACTGAGGAAGATCAGGATACTGCTTGATCCCAAAATATGACGATTATAAAGTCTCCACCACTGCGAGCGATGATCTTGTTTATATAAAGATTTCTGTAGGCCTACAGTTAAAGGTAGGCCCTAGCTATTAGTGGACTGTGACTATTCAGGTACATTACTACATTAGAGCCTTCAGAAGTGTTACAAACTGAATTTTTAGACATTAAAATACCAAAATTTTTGGGGGATCCGGACCCCCTATCGCCCCCCCCCCCAAAAACGAAATCCTGGCTACGCCACTGACAATAACTACCATCAAACAAAAATTGTAATTACTTCAAATGATTGACATTACAATATTGGTTAAGATAGGCCTGGAGACAGTAATAGCCTATATTGGAAAAAAACTAAAGGCCAGAAAATACAGCTACGATCATATCACACATTGATCATGAGAACCTTTCCCGGGCCGGGCGCAGCCTGTGGGCCATAGTTTTGTAACCCCTAGCCTAACCAGTCAATTGGTTGGTTGATACCTGGGATAGGGGCCATCAGATTGTTTAGGCTAGACCCTTGTAAAACACAGAGTTTGCACTAAGTTGACTACGGTCTTTTTTAAATATTAAAATACACGTAATCAAATGTGACGACAAACTGAAAATGCATTGACGATTTTGATATAAGTTAATCCTGTTTATATGAAACGTGGAATGTGGGTGATGTTAATGAACCTTATAAGTTATCCACTAAAAAATTCCACCGAGTTGTAAAATGTTAAAATTGTAAAATTTATCAATTGTTAACCACTTAGGCTAAATTGGACATTCGTGTAACAAAGCTTTTGTTACTTTTGGAGATTTAATTTGGTACACAGCTGTGTACACATATAAATGTTGTTCCAACAATGTTAATAGAAAACGTGGACAAAGCTATACTGCGATATTTTAAACTCTTCCGGCCAAAACTTGGCTCACACTGACCTGGATGGATCTGAAACGGTGTATGGTATGGTTTTAGACCATGAGCATGCAGGACCCGGGTCGCATGGCTCGAAATCATACTCTTAGCAGCAAATGTCTTAGGCTAATAAGTTTAATATTTTTTGAAGTTTTTTTAAGTTTAAACACCTAAGACTTTGTAAAGAAATGGCCGGCATAACAGGTGTAGGCCTAAGTTAACTTACAACACAATACCTGGTAATCCTCAGATAACATTTCCTTAGGCCTACCATACCCGCCACACTAATAAGGTTAATTTTTACAAAGGGACATGCCCTAAGGAAATAATTAGGCCTAGGCCTAGGCCCTACTAAAACAAAACTTACATCCTTGATCTACTAACTTATTAAATGTATCCTAATAGGCTACTTAGGCCTAGATAGTCCAGGCAAACTAAACAAACTTACATAGGGACCGTTAAAAAAATTGCAAGAAAACGTTTTATGGTTTTATTTTGTAGAGTTGGGTTTGCAGAATGACATACTAAAAGTTGCCAAAAATCGGTGCACGAGAAAACCACTAAAATCACAATTTAAAATGGCGGCTTTTTTCAACATTGGACAAATTAAAAAAACATATTTCACATGCATTTGCTATGCACATTTTTCGAGATATTGACTTGGGACCACCGCCTGTATTTATTGAGTGGTTAGTACTTCATTTTGATAGGGAACATGTTTTTGGCCGCCATCTTGGATCCGCCATATTGGACATAGATAATTTTTTTTCAATGTAATGATAGTGTTGTGACACATCATTACCAACTACATTTTTACACTGATTTCAATGCCGAAATCCGTTTTTAAATATCTTTATTCATTTAGAAGATATATACAAAAGAAAACTCTGCACCATACATTTCTTATGGACGTTTCGTAGTTTGATATTTTTTTAAAATTATTTTTCTTTTATCTCCAGTTCTTATTAACGCTTGTAGTTCGTTCTAGGCTTAAAATATTCAGTAATGTAAGGGCTTTCATTTGAGCTCTTGATCATTAAAATCAGACGAGTTAAAGACCTGCTACGAACCTCAGAACAATATCAAATTTAACTTTTTAGAAATATATTTTTATTAAAATATTTATAACTCGGGTTGTTAATACGTCACCAAGTTCTTTCTTGTCTCAAATTACTCAGTGAATGTTTAGCTTTGATTTTATTAATCACTAAACAAAATCTGACAATTTTAAAATGAGCCATGGACCATAATTTAACATTAAAATGTATTTATTTTGAAATTTGTCTTTAGTTAAGGACATATATCCCAAACCCTAATAACTCCTGGAAAGTAATCCATAGCTAAAATAAAAGTCAATATTTTGGCGAATTATTGAAGACTATAAAGAGTTTTGGGAGTTATTTAGAATTAGGAATATACGTCTTTAACTAAAGACAAATTTCAATATAAATACATTCTAATGTTAAATTATGGTCCATGGCTCATTTTAAAATTGTCAGATTTTGTTTAATGATCAATAATATTAAAGCCAAACATTTACTGAGTAATTTGAGATCAGAAAGAACTCGGTGACGTATTAACAACCCGAGTTATAAATATTTTAATAAAAATATATTTCTAAAAAGTTAAATTTAATATTGTTCTGAGGTTCGTAGCAGGTCTTTAACTCGTCTGATTTTAATGATCAAGAGCTCAAATGAAAGCCCTTACATTACTGAATATTTTAAGCCTAGAACGAACTACAAGCGTTAATAAGAACTGGAGATATAAGAAAAATAATTTTAAAAAAATATCAAACTACGAAACGTCCATAAGAAATGTATGGTGCAGAGTTTTCTTTTGTATATATCTTCTAAATGAATAAAGATATTTAAAAACGGATTTCGGCATTGAAATCAGTGTAAAAATGTAGTTGGTAATGATGTGTCACAACACTATCATTACATTGAAAAAAAAATTATCTATGTCCAATATGGCGGATCCAAGATGGCGGCCAAAAACATGTTCCCTATCAAAATGAAGTACTAACCACTCAATAAATACAGGCGGTGGTCCCAAGTCAATATCTTGAAAAATGTGCATAACAAATACATGTGAAATATGTTTTTTTAATTTGTCCAATGTTGAAAAAAGCCACCATTTTAAATTGTGATTTTGGTGGTTTTCTTGTGCACCGATTTTTGGCAACTTTTAGTATGTCATTCTGCAAACCCAACTCTACAAAATAAAACCATAAAACGTTTTCTTGCAATTTTTTTAAGGTCATATCCTATATTTACCCGACTAAGAGGACCAGATGCCTATTTGATAAGTGAAAATAAGACATTGCTTGTTGTCAACAGGTCTTTTAACCTTTAGGTCCCTAATTTATTGTTGTAGGTAGCACGTAAGTTAACTTGTCTGGAGTAAGTACAACCATTATATGCTTACCATGGCCGAAGTTATTTTCAGATATGAATGTTTTATCTGTAAAAACTACAATTGATAGGCTAGGTCTTTGGTTAAATACGATTCCTCCAATTTAGTTTCTCCTTTCCCACAATGGAGATGTTTCCCAACTCGCATCAACTATCAACAACACAATTGAATACAAAACAAAAATTTACAGAAATACACTCAACACCCAACAATGTCGAATTGAGCAAATCAAAGATAAGATGATTTGATTTTGATTTTGATTCCAATTGGCTGGCGCTGAAAGCCGCTGATAGCAGGCTAGCGGCTAGCAGCAGTTGTTATAGCTCAGTGGTTGTCATCCGGCAAATTGGATTATGGGTTGTCAGCATGTTTTGCGCATGGAGCTGTTAAGTTTAAATATTTTTTTAGTTTTTGACCATAGATTAAACATAACATGAGATAATTCGTCTATTCTGTAACAACTGATTACGTATTATCATTGGCTATACACCGTAGACTTTGTAACATGTAACATGACTTTGTAACGCGGACTTCCGGTTAACATGGCGGTAGACGATGAGAACTCTGACTGTGCTGTGTGTAATAAAACAGTGAAAGAAGACCAAGACGGATTATTCTGTGATGGTTTCTGCAGGAGGTGGTTCCATATAAAATGTGCGAAAGTTCCAAAAAGTGTTTTTAGTGACATAAACAGGCTACACCAATTTATTCAGTGGACTTGTGAAAAGTGCCTATGTCGCATGGCAACCATGAGAACGTATGTATGTAGCAATGAAAATTGTACAACTCTCCATGAAACAGTCGGTAAACTACTAAAACTAGTAAAGGATCTTAATCAAGACCATAACCAATTAATTTCAAAAATGGAATCATTGAATCAGAATAACATTAAACTAGAATCTCGCCTAACCTCAATTATTTTGACAAAAATGCCGGAAGTTCAAAATCAAAACATATTTCAAGCAGACGACAACGTCCACCACGGCGACTGCAATCTGACCACAACGGAATCATTTGAATCCGCTCCAGAAGGAAAATCTGACCACTCTGATAGGGGTATAAATCCTAGGTGGGCAGATTTTCCCATCCTTGTTAGTCAGTCGTGACGTCATCGTTGATGCGATGCAGTTATCGTACTGGTATCGCATAGCTCCACAAGTCAATAGTCGATATCGAATACCCCTAATTTACTTTACTTGAGAATCGCTGAAACGAAACGCTTCCATCTTCTTTCTCGAATCTTGCTTGGTTAGGTTCAGGACTCTAGATTCTCGTTCTTTGGTTCTTTCTTTGTTTTTGTTTGGTTGGATTGCATGTAATGTCGACAAGCGTAACGAAAGAAAAGTTGTTAATCGTGTTTTCAGATATAACTCACTAGTTTAATTTTTAATTTATACCCGTACTTAACTTACGAGAAGTTGTTTTCTGGATAGGCCTAGGCCTAGTTTAACTTAAATTATACATTTTTATATTTATATGACTTAAGTATTAACTTAGGCCTAGGCCTATTAGAGGATTTTAAATGGAGGCAACAGAAGATAATAATGATGGTGATCAAGTGGAATCGAAATTACACTTTGTTAATACATACGACCAATTTTCTATTAAAATTGCAAGAAACCGAAGTATCTACGTATAGCAAATTTGTTTGCAGGCGTGCTTGTAAGCAGGATTTTGGCCATAACCTGTATAATACTATAATTAGCTTCAAGTTCTTGTTTATCTTTTACTTGGTCACAAGCCAAGTCCAACTTGGTTATAAGCTCCTTATTACCGATAACACAATTAGATTTGCATATGAGCGGTAAATTTAATTTACAGACCGTTCTATAACTTTAGTTTAAAAGCGTTTTCTACTGTGACTATCACAATCATACTTCATATTCATAGATTGTAGAGAAACAACCTAAACCTACATTAATAACAACCTACAACCATAACCATCAACCATGATGTTATGTTAACGAATTCGACGCGAATAACGATCAAATATCGATAGACGATATTTAGAACTACATCGACTTCCCGAATCGATCGAATCAACGTGACGTCACGACTGACTAACAAGGATGGGAAAATCTGCCCACCTAAATCCTAAGACCATGACGATTGATATGACGATGTCAAATGTCAGTAATGTCACTGAAATGGACAAGGCAAAAAAAAATCAGCAGCAGACGACATTGCGCCAACAGAAGAAGCATCTGACAAGAAGAAGAAGAACTGCATGTTGTCAACAGACAAATCTGATGTTGTCTGGACTACTGTTGGTAACAAACATAGGAAGAACAAGACCAACCTGACGAGTGATGAGACAAGTAACAACCGTGTTAGCGCATCTCATGTGGACCATAAGCTGAGTTATGCGGCAGTAGCTACCTCAAACATTAGTGCCAAAGTTATTGCTACGAACCAAGACAGACAAGAGGCAAGGTCGGTGACGAGAAGAACCGTGACTAGGCCTAGATCTACAACCGCTAAACAAGTTCTTGTGGGGACTTCGGATGATGAAACCCTAAAAGGGGCAAAGAAAGCCTGGTTACACTTGGGGAAAGTCAAAAAAGGTACCGAGGTGGCCGATGTTCAAGGCTACGTGGCTAAAGTCTTCCCGGGAGTGGAATTCCAGATTGAGAAGTTAGAAACAAAAGGCTCCAATGATAGTTTCAAGATAGGTTGTGACTTTATCCACAAGGACAAAGTTTTGGATGGCAAATTGTGGCCCAAGAACATTACATTGAAGCGTTTTTTATTCCGGGAACCAAGGAAAAGTGCAGTGACGTAGGACATGTTGCTGTCCCAGTGCCCATCTCGGATTCCTTAGCTTTTACAGACAATAGGACAATACAAAATCCTCTAACCTCAAATGTGCCTAGGAAGCACGACTTGGCCAGGGATGTGGCTCCTGTACCTAAAACTAGTAATCATATGGTATTTGGCTATCTTAACATTCAGTGTTTGCGTACTAAATTAAATGTCACCTCACTTTTTTGCGAAGAAAATCAATTAGACGTTTTCTGTGCCTGTGAACATTGGCTAGGAAACGATGAGATACACGCTTTCAGTAAACTGAACTCATTGCAACTAGTAGCAAGTTTTTGTCGTGACCTGCACAAGAATGGTGGTGTCTCTATATATGTGAAACATGACTTGCTCACTGGGTCTAGGCCTATTAATCTTGTGCAGTATTGCAGTGAACTCGACATTGAGATAGCTGGTATAGAACTGATGGACAAATCCCTCATCGTCCTCAGCATATATCGCTCGCCTGATGGGCAGGTTCTGAAGTTCTTCGATCTGCTCGACCAGTGTCTAGGCTATCTTGCTGGTTTCAAGAAAAACATTATTTTGGGCGGAGACTTCAACATAACCCTCAATGCCAACGATGTAATGGCCAATGACTTCGTAGATCTTCTACGCTCTCATGGACTGTTCATCACTAGTCTTCTGCCTACGCGTGGACCTCGCTGCCTTGATACAGTGGCCACAGATCTTAACATATGGGAATATCAGGTTTGGACAACCGAACCGTATGTGGCGGACCATCAAGCGGTTCTCATGGAAGTCAACTCCAGTATGGTGAGTCCTTCTTTAACAGTTCCTGCATGGTTAAATCTCTATACTAGACATTATAGGTTATTAGATGAAGATCTTATTCCTAGTTTTAAACATGCTCTTTCACAGGTCCCCTGGGATGATGTCTTATTTGGCAAGCAAGCCGAATCGGCTTTTGAGGCATTTTTTGATGCATACAATTCAGTTTTTAATACTTTTTTCCCCTTAAAAGTCAGCAAAAAAGTAAACCCTCAAACCAAAAAAACCCCACTCCGGCCTAGGGACAAATCTTGGTTTACTGCAGAGCTGAAGCAGATACAAATGTTTGTTCTAGCATTCAGGGATAGGTACATGACAGCGGAGACCCCCGCCAATAGGGAGCATTTCTTTAATCTTTACACCAGAGCCAAAAGGTTGTATAGAATTAAAATAGACCAGGCAAAGAAAGCTTCTAATGTGAGGCTCATTGAAAGCTCGCTAAATCCTTGTAAGGCGGTTTGGAACTTGGTCAACAACAACCGTAATACCGGTCAAGGGCCGTCACCTGCCTCTAAATGTTCTGCTAGCCCCGATGACTTTAACACCCATCTCATCAGTACTGTAGCAGGCATTGTAGGCACCGCTCCTGTAGATAATAATGAAGTAGTCAAAGGCATACAGTCTCCTGATGCCAACCTTTCATCCTGGCAACCTCTTACACCAGAGAGCCTTGTCACCATGGTAGGCCATTTTAAGACCTCTCACAGCCCCGACATATATGGAATGACTACTGTCATCCTAAAACACACTGTTAATATTGTTGCCATCCCTCTTTGCCAGGTCCTGAACTCTTGCCTGAGTGCCGGAATATTTCCTAGAATTCTAAGGGTGTCTAGAACTGTCCCCATATACAAAAAAGGAGATCCAGCAAGTGTACAGAGCTATAGACCCATATCTATCATACCAACCTTCGCTAAGGTCTTTGAAACAGCCATCAAACTCCAGCTAGTCTCTTATCTTGAGCGCAATAACCTGATGTCCAATCTTCAACACGGCTTCCGTAAAGACAGATCAACTGTCACTGCCGTCTCTGAGCTCGTACATCGCATTCGACAAGCCTTTGAGGATACCAACACTGTTGCCTTGACATTATGTGACTTGAGCAAGGCATTTGATTGCGTCTCACATGACATTCTGCTTGCCAAATTAAATAAATATGGGGTGCGTGGTGCAGTTAACGACACCTTTGTGACATATTTGGAGAACCGACAGCAGGTCGTCTCGATAGCTGGAGCTAAGTCCCGAGCTCTCAATGTTCCTCACGGGGTGCCTCAGGGATCGGTTGTGGGCCCTGTCCTCTTTCTGATAGCCATAAACGATCTTGAGCTAAGTGGCAATGCACTCAGGTTTGCTGATGACACTACCCTAATTTCTGTTGGTAACAATCCAGGAACTGCCTCAGAAAGAGCTGAAGTGATGTTTAGGGCAGCAAAGGACTGGTTTGAGACAAACAAATTAAAACTAAACCAAGACAAGACACAAAAAATCCTGTGCTCACTTAATTCAAACTTGGCTCAGGACGTTGTCAAGGTAAATCTGCTAGGCTTTACGATTGACCCAAAGCTGAGTTGGAAAGACCATGTGGATAACGTGGCTAAGAGGTTGTCGAGAGTAACACATCTTCTCAGGAAGTTAACGAGACTAGTTGATAAAGCTTACCTAGTTGTGGTCTACCACGCTTTATTCCACAGCCACGTTACTTACGGTCTCCAGCTATGGGGTCATGCAGCTAATGTCTCCAGAATCCTAAAGCAGCAGAAGAAAGCTCTGAGAATTATGACTGGCAGCGGGCGACAGGAGCACTGCAAGCCTATATTCGCTGACTTGGGCATACTCACCATTCATAGTAACTACATCCTTCAATGTGTCAGCTACGTACACTCCAATGTAAATACCTTTACCTCCAGACAACAGGTGCATGCGCATAACACCAGACGCAAAAATCACATTGACGTACCCTATTGTAGGCTCAGCAGGACAAAAGACGCTTTCCCTGTCATGGCCCTCAGACTGACCAATAAGTTGCCGGTTGCAGTAAGGGATTTAAACCACAATCAGTTTCAAGCAAGGTTAAAGTGTTGGCTAAAAGCTAGGCCGTATTACTCACTCAAGGAATTCTTTGAGGACGACCTTACAGGACTCTAAATCTACCGCCATAAAGTTTTTTAAGTTCTTTTGGTCTAATGACCATACAAAAGTCTGTATATACTGTAAATAGTTTTTGTAAATATTGACGCAGCCTATCCAGCTTATGCTGGTATCAAGCCAAGGAGGAGGTAATAAGGTAATAAGGTAATAAGGCAATAGAAGTGTATAGTCAATAGTTTTATCAATGCTGTAATGTAAGGGGTTGGTTATTAATCATCATAATTGACTTTTAGATACTGAAGTTTTCGTGTACCTACTTAGTTCCACAATTTTATTTTATTTATTCCAACGGCAAGATCACCAATTTACAATGTGGATTCAAGAAGCCATGTGGTAACAACATGCATTTTCAGAAAACTTAACAACTAACTTAAATCTATGACAGAAACAGAGAAACATTGGTAACAGGAAATATAATCTTGACTAGGAAAGCAATAATTAACAATGAAGTACAAAATAATTGTGAAAAATCAATAACACAGATTAGAATTTGGTCTGGCAATTGAAAAGCATAGACGGAATGTAAATTAAACGTCTTATAACACTTAAAACGCATATTCAAGCTTATACTGTTACCCACAAGACGGTAAATAAACATAAAAGGTGGTAAGTGGTGATCGATTTCGATTGGACACTCCAATCATCATCAGACCCAATTACGGCCACCTTTAACTCCATGCCACGGCCTGGTAGAATTGGCAGTAAGGCTGTTAACCTATGGCAATGTCAACACATATTACAAGAAAGAAATTTTCTTGAGGATAATCAAAAGGCATATTAACCTGCTTGAAATAATTCAGTAGGCCTACATTAATAATTAATAGCTATGCGATACTACACTACAGCTTGCGGACAGCTACACGCCGCGCCACAAAACTTAAGTTGTTTCACTCTGTTCATTTAACAAAAAAAAAAAAAACTTAACAAAACTAAGCATGATAGAAAGAATAGTTAAGTACAAACAGTAATGTATATTTAATTATCTACAACTTTTTCACAGATGAAACTACTCTGACCAACAAACAAAAATGTTAGTAGAAACTTTTTCACTTTGATTTTCCAAACTTTTCTGTGTTAATTTTTTAAATATTATATATACTGTACTACTAAACGAAATTTCAATTTTCAAAACTACGCCATTGTATAAAACATTTATTTGCTAACTCTGTACCAAATCTCAAAATGTTATCTCAATTCTAAGGGTGTAAAAATGCAATGTATTTAAGCCACGATCACTATAGTTCCATACTACTGTAATGGTGAAACGGCCGGGCTGGGAGTAGAGGCTTGGTGCGACGTTGCCAATTCTTGCTGGCCGCGGCCTTTGGTAAGCCGCGACCTTTGGTCAGCCGCGGCCTTCGAAGTGGCAACGTCTTAAGTCACGGCCGCCTTTTAACTACAGGCCGCGGCCTGGTAGAATTGGCAACATTGCAAGTGGTATTGTTCAGTGACAGACGTCCCATAAGATAACATGGCAGACATGTGACATCAGCTCATATATTAATTCGCAATTTATTGATTTAATTTTTATTTTATGAACATAAATTTACTAAAACATTGAAAATAAAACATACAGAATTAAAAATTGAAACAATATGAATTAAAATCTATATCTGTACATTTTTAAGCGGAGTCAATAAGCTATTGTCTTAGTCCAGTAATCAATCTTTCGAAAATACACAAAAACCATTGGTTGCTTCCAAAAAAATCAGCTGTTCCAACACCACTTGCGACGTTGTAAGTTCGAAGGCCGCGGCCTGGAGTTAAAGGCGGCCGTGCTTAAGTAGGGTTGTAACAGCTGTTTTGTTTGGAAGCAACTATGGTATTTGTGTATTTACGAAAGCTGAACTATGACAATACCGACTCTGCTTTAAATGTACAGTTATAGATTTTCAATTCTGTACCTATGTTATATTTTCAATATTTTAATAAATTTATGTTCTTAAATTTAAATCGATTAAAGTGCAAATCAATGATTCTTCGAGGTTGCATGGATTTTCAAAAAGCCATAGCCTAGCCATCAGCTTAAAAACAAATAAAAGAAAAAATGTTTTTTTGTGTAAGTAAACAAAACGCAACAAAACAAACGTCGACGAGCGACGCGACGAGCCGTCGAACGTCGAATGTCGATTGTCGAAACGAAGCCCACCCTAACCTAACAAGAAGACAGAAGAAGACGAAGCCTGAAGACGAAAGCTAAGATAACACTAAATGCAGTTGAATTAAATACGTGAGTTTTATTGTTTTTCATCTTAATTGTGCGGTGTTTTAATTTTCGTTGCGCATCATGATATTTTGTTGTTTACTCAACCTTTCATATGAATCGTAAGCATTTTTGAAAGTCTCGACGCATAGGCCTAGACAGTAGACGTACTAGGTCAAAGTTATAGACAATGAAAATATTGTAATTAGTAAAAACTCACTTACTTAGGCCTACTTGTATTAACCCTCCAAGTGTCCATAGTTTAGGCCTTAATGTCCACCTATTTTTGGCGCATTTGCAAGGTTTTATTAAAACGGATCTGAGAAGTTTAAAACAATGTTAATTCTAATGTTCTATATACCATTTTGTTTGGAAAATCATGGGCTTCAATATTATATATAAAACATAAGGAACATTTTTTCAAAAAAAAAAATTTTTAGGTAAAAAAAAATATAATTTCGAAAATTTTCAAAAAAAAATAAGTTCGCGCTCAATGAAATTGTATAAATTATAGGCCTATAAATATTTGAAAATAGCCACTTTGTTCTAAATTTTATGAGGATTACAAATATATAATAATATAAGGAAGTAGATTTGCAAATAAATAAGTTATGGGCAAAAAACTGATTTCAGTACATAGCGTTTAGCTAAGAATGCATAGCCTAACCATAGCTAGGAATCTGGCTGATAATTTACATCAATATCACTACCTACTTCTTCAGGATCATCAACCAGCACTTCAAAACCACTTAAATCTTCTTATAATGCACCACGTATATTACTACTTTTGATTTTTAACACTAAAACAATGATAAACGTAATACAACCCATCAGTCATCGGTCCGGGGGAACCTAGCTGTTTACAAATACACGCACGTCAGCTGTCTGCTACAATATTTTCGGAACTAAAATGAATAGCGCTTAGAGACAGACCTCTGGAGAAAGCTTAGAATATTACGGAAAGAACGATACCTAACTCGATCCAGTTCAATCCGATTCAGTCAGTCATAGAGCCTTCGCCGTAAACGATGTCTGCGTGTCGAAAAATCGACAAGTAACACTACACAAAGTGTGCTGCTTGTCGAATTTTCGTCAACTAACACTGGGAGGGTTAAGTTACTCGAGGTTTCCATCCTTAATGGAGCAGACGAATTGATTGTGTAAAATATTTATTAGACTTGTTAATAGCAAATGAAACTTATTGGCTACACTTTGAAACTGAGATTTTGTAGGCTAACCTCATAATGTGAAGTTCTAAGGGTTCCTCCTCGCTGGACTTCCAAGCTGTATTCAGTTTGAGAATACTGAACTTATACTAGTGATGCACGATTGCGAGATGTTACAATCAAAACGTTTTGATTGTTTGAACCTCTCGAGACGTTTCGATTGTAATTTTACTTAGCGAAAGGTTATTACCGAGATGTTTGTGACTACCTATTGTTTTGTTTCAGCACGGCTTCTCTCATATCTCGCATTCGTCTCGTCTAGAGAACCAAGAGGCGAGAAGTCCTTACCTAGAGTCCTTTTAACTTAATGAGATGTTCATGGCGATTGTTTCGTTAAGTGCGGCATTGTAATTTATTATCATCTAATTTCTATCGCATCAACCGGGGATTGACCCACAGTAAAAGAGCTTAGCCTATCTTACTTCAAAATCAAGGAAGGTTTACATATGGATGTATCACTTACTTTTTCTACGGAACTTAATACCACCCAATAAAAACTAACTTATTGACAAGGCGATATATTTTACAAACAATGTTTGTATTTATAAATCAAAATGTTTTAACGATATAGAAGATTCTAATAAATGTTATGTTAATAGTAGCCTATTTCTTATTTACCACTAACTTAGGTGAAACCCGTCGATATCGACGGTTGCTTTAAAGGCTTAGGCCTACAACAATTCTTCTAACTGCATCAAAAAGAGTGACATTATAAAAAACACCTCGTTCATATGGTCATGCTGCTTCATTGACAACAAATAATGCAAATGACAAAAGCAATGCTGCATTTCCAAAAAGCAAATAGGCTACTATAAATTGTTACGTAGATAGTGACAATTACATGCATTGTTGTTAATCAACGTATCTTAGAAAGGATGAGGATATTTAGTTCAAAAGGAACACTACCTTTCTGTCATGACAGTATGACCTATAAATGGTAATTACTCTTTGTGAAATTTGTTTTACAGTCAAAGTGTAAAGTTATTTTCACAAATCTCACTTAAGGCCAACCAAGTGGGCAACGGTCCTTAATAGGCCATTGCAAAACATCTGTCAAGATATAGGTAGCCTACTATTTTAGGCAAGGTTTGTGTGTTTGGATGTTAGTGTTGAATATTAGATACGATAAGAGCACAATGAAATTCTTCTGCAGATGAATAATCCGTTGGTTAAGAGAAATATAAGCCGAATTAATAAATGTCACAATCCAAGTGCATTAAAATGGCTCTGGCCTGAACTTTTTTGTAGTATCGAGTTTGGGTATTTTGATCATGTTACTATCTGGGTAAGTTACTGGTGCACTTTGAGAAATTTCTTTTAGAGTAAATTAAATGGTTTTTGTTGCTGAGTAGCGCTAGTAAACATGTACAACCCTGTTCGTTAGTTTAATAATATCAAAGAGCCTATTGTGTTTTCACTAAAAGCTGAATGAATACATCAAAGTAACATCTCTAAAAAGTCTGCAATAAATTGCAATTTAGCAGATTAGCCCTAATGACTTTCTAAATCATGCACATTTTTCTTATAAATTATAGAAAAAATAATCTAGTTGCTTTAAACCACTATTAATTTAACAAAATATGGATACGGCTCATAATAGGCAACGTGCCCTTCATTCTTCATGTGCCAATTATTTTATATTGTACTAGCTGGCCCGACAGACGTCGTCCTGTCCTAATGTGGTTTTATGTCAAATGCTTGTTCATTTTCAAGATGAGCTCGTTCGCATGGCTCAATCACGTCTTGGTTGAAGTTTGTTCGCTACGCTCACTCACCTTTACGATGGAGCCCGTTCGGCGCTCACTCCCCTTCAGGTTAGCTCGTTTGCTAAGCTAACTCGCCTCCAGGTTAAAGTTCAAGTGGTTGCAAATTAGCTGTTGTCATGAATTTAAAAAATAATAGTGCTGCACTCTGTTGGTAAACCTATTAACTTTTTAATGCTATTGAACATCACAGAATCAAATTGTTTAGTTGAGCCAGCTGTTAACATTCTTTAAATCCCATTTAAATATGAGTACTCATAAGGTTAACATGGTAAACTCCAGACCCACTGGGGCGGAGCTCTTTTGACGGATCTGCACCAAACTTCACACAAACCATCCTTGAATAATGCTTAAAAGTTTCATTACAACCTGTTGAGCGGTTTCGGAGTCCATAAAGGACAAAAAAACAAACAAACATAGCCTACATTGGATTTTATATATATAGATAGACTAGCAGAGTACCCGTCCTTCGTACGGGATTGGCATATCAGTATAAAATGCTTAGTACAGCCGGTTCTCATTGCATACCTCTATCACAGTTTTTTGTTGCTGCTTAATTCAAATTAGCTGTTTTCATAAACGAAAAATAATAATAGTGCTGCACCCTGTTGGTAAATCTTATAACTTTTAATGCTTTTGCATACCACAGAACCAACCTTTTTAGTTGCAACAGCTGACTAAATTCTTTAATTCCATTTAAATATGAGTACTCATTTAAGGTTAACATGGGAAACTCCAGAGCCACTGGGGCGGAGCCCGAAAGGATTTTTGAGATAAGAATATGCCTATATGTTAATCGGGAATGTGAGCTATCATCATGCCATATTTCAGCCCAATCCGTCCAGTAATTAATGTGTGATTGAACTTCAAACAAACAAACAAACATACAAACTTTCACATTTATAATATTAGTAAGATTACACAATCGGAATCTTTTCCAATAATTGAAAACATGTATGAAAACAATCTCATGAACCTATGATGATCTGTCTTGAATAATATGACAAAATATCGACAAAAGTGGTCAAAAAGGCAGACACCAACCCGTACAATAGATATAACGTAATTTGATAAGAAATCATTTTAAGAGTTACTGTAATATTAAGATTTTCCAATGATTTCGTAATTGAACGTTATATTGCAAATCATGTGATTATGCAGAACAAAATAAATTTTAAAATCAGAAAATTAGTCTACATTGCAAATATTACTTTTTGACATTTACTCAGTAACTCCCTATAATATGTGTTGTTTAAATACAATTTAAATATTACCGTAACAGCTTTTTCACTAAAAAGTAGTGAACAATTATCCAGATGACGATTATGTAAACCAATCTGGGAAGGGGACTTTAAAGGCTTCTGGGGCAGAGCCCTAAGGGAATTTACTTAGTTTTTCTTTTGATATGGCTCATCTACAGACCGAGACCTTTCTTTGGACACCTCTACCAAGTGTCTACGCCCAGCCGTTCTCTCAAATTAGTGGAGACAAAGTTTCCAATTAAATATTTAGATTCCCCATGTTAATCTTATGGTAGAAAACCCAACTTTGATGGAAGATCCTGCCCAAACTAATAAAGATTTCAAAAAATGAAAAACGCTTTGCAAAACTACAGATCAGGGTCAATTTTTTTGACACTTTAATCATCAAAATCGGTCCAAAAATGAGGGAGGAGTTCTGTTCACAAAAATCAGCTTAGCGTATTATATATAGGTCTATAGATTACCCATATTACTTTAAAATCATTTTCCATTTCTGTTGCCATGACTAGTGAGGAAAGTTCTTATTCATATGGCAGCATTATATGTTGTGCATAATAGTCTACTATTCTATAAGAATCTAGAAAAATAACTAACATCCTCGTAACAAATCTCATGAAATGTAGACAGATGCAAACAGACGTTTAGGCTCAACGAATGCAACAATCAAGAGAAACATCTCAATTGTAAAGGGTGCGCCAAAATAACCTGACGGTTTTTAATACTGAATAACTCAAGAACAAACTACAATTTCATGTATTAAATAACGTTATATTGTACACACTACAATGCCATTTTCATTTATGAAAAATTATATCACTCAGTTTATATCGCCTTCTCCTAAACACAGGCTTTCCATTTTTTTGCATTTTTGCAGTCACCTTCGCCTGATGAATAGAAGCAATCTCTTTCCTGATACACTGCTTGAGTTCAGGGATGGTTTGAAATTTCGAAAGAAACATTTTGCTTTTTAAGTATCCCAACAGCCAACAGTCACACAAAATTAAGTCTGTGGTTCGAGCTGACCACAGCACATCACCAAACCAAGAGATCATTTTACCGGCAAAGAGTTCACGCAAAACTGGCATTGAATAATTGGCTGTATGACAAGTTGCGCCGTCCTGTTGAAATCACGTGTTAGTCATCTATCCCTCATAACATCCTCAGTTGTGGAACCAAAAACCCCCTCAGTATTTCCAAATAGCGTTCCGAGTTCACAGTGACAGGGGGGTGTTCCCATTTTCGTCCTCAAAAACATATGGTCCGATGACTCCAAACAGTGCAACACCACACTGCACCACACTAGACAGTAACTTTCTTTTGACGACGTGATGTTTTACCAAACATAACCTAAAAATGGCATAACATAAGCAATCGTTCACTACAACAATGAGGTCTCTAGCTAGTATAACAGCTGACTTATTACAAAACAGAAACCGTCAGGTTTTTTTGGCGCACCCTTTACAAACCTCTCGCTAAGCAATCGAAACAATCGATAAGCGGAACATCTCGAGAAGGAACATTTCGATTGTTCAAACGTCTCGCAATATTTCGCACATCACTAACTTATACTACTTATGTTATATTGCATTTTTATTACCTCATCTACCAAAATTAGGCTATTCTAACCACTTTTTACCTTTGCCACTCTTGGTGGCAACGATTATTTCACCCTGAAATCGCAAAAAGCGCTAGAAATCAATGATTTTTGGTGTTTGAAATTTTTTGTACTTTTTATGTGTTTTTCTTATTTTTAGTCCATTTTAAAAACTTTTTCGGTAAATGCCGTTTTTACTCAGAAAACCTTGTATGAAAAATTGTAAAAAATAGCCTGTGCCAAAAATGACACATTTTTTGGTAAACAAAATTAAGTTAAATACAATCCAGCCTAGGGCCATCATTGCAATGGTATGTTTGGCACTACTAATGTTTGACGGTTTTCTGTAGATCGCTGAGAGAGTGATTTTTCTTAAAAACGTCTATTGCTTAGCGCATGTGCATTGAACTTTTCAAAACGGCCGCCGCGTTATCTGCAGTGTGTTTGTTGTTGCTGGTGTTTGACAATACTTCTTCAAAGTTATCTGGAGTTAATCTAAAATAAGTTCTAGTCCAAATAAACTTTCATCCAGTTTCAGATCATGCACACCGCCATCATACCGTAATGGTATCCTTAAAATAAAAAAAAAAATTAATATAATGAATCCATTTAAACTTCTTGTTAACGGGCTATTCTGAAGATAGGCCCTAAGTGGAATTCCCGCCCAAGATTTCAAACGGAAACAATTTTTTTATAAAAGAATATTAATTTAGGCCGATATTTAGGCTAATATATTTTTAAAGTCTAATAACAAACTAAATACATATACCGGTACACCATTTTTAGAGGTCAAGTAAGACAATAATGTAATAAGCTGTATTACCTATATAGTAATTATCCACGGGAGTTACCTCCATGGAGGTTACATTTTCTGTTCAGTCACTTGTCAATCCTAACCTATAGATTCATTAGAGTTTATGATTTCTGAAAGATAATAGGTGTCTCGCAAATAAAAAGATAAAGTTAAAATTTTAACATATGACATATGCATTATTTTTTGCACTCATGGAGGTTACAAGTATAAAAGTCACTAGCCTTGCGAGAAAGGAAATCTTGTTTATTAACAGCAAGTAGGATTGAGCAACAGCACAAAACCTCGACAAGAGGAATGCAACCTCTATTTCTCATTATCTTAATTTCCCAAACAGAAGCTTGTCTCAACATGAAACCCCCACCCATCCCTCTTCCTTCCTTAGTCTTTGTTTTGGCAAGTGTCGGTGCAGTGGAGAAACCTCTATAGGCATAAGACAAATAATGGCAGTATTAAACCTCGATAAAGCAAACCTCTTTATTAAGAATAACTCGATAATAGAAATTTTTCCCCTACCCCTTGAAATTTGTCTTATAGAGGTTTCTGCTGTATAGGCATCTGTCTCTAAATTGGTTAGCCTAACTATCTTTAAGGGTAGTCCAATAAGTTGAAATGAGCCTCGCCTATAATTTAAACTACACGGCCCGAGATTACTTTCCGAATGACCGCTATCCTAAGTTAGTGTTGATAATACAGTAAACCCTCATTAATCCGAACCCCATTACTTGCTTTTTCACCAGGAGTAATCACATCTGTGACGTGGATCGTCAGTTCCCTATCCCTTATTGGAGAGTGGCCTGATTGGTTAGCTCTTCAACTTCAATGTTTAATACCGCTTTATATACAGTAGGTGTTCTTACAATGCTGTACTTTGTTTAATGCGGACTGTGGATTGAAAAACTGTAGGCCTCTACAGATAAGATGATTGCACCAAACTGTAAACTTCCCAGTTTTTCAAAATTATTTTGTTCATGGTGGTTTTCTGTTCATCTTAAATTCAGGATACACTGTTGAAGCTTTTTCTAAAAAAGATTTATTTGCAAAGGGTAATTCATATGATATATCTCCCTCTCATCATAATGAGTTAATTTAATTAAATCTGGAATTAAATAATCTCAATGACTTAGATCCTTAATAAGTTTGGATCATGATGTTTGGGTTCTCTGTACCTTGGCTTGATTCTAATGTTAATAATGTGGTTTGGTTTTAGGTGAATATGACAGAAGAAAGGTTGGTAACAGAAGTCCCAAGTAGTTTGAAACAGTTGGCGAGACTGGTTGTCAGAGGGTTTTATACAATAGAAGATGCTCTGATCATTGACATGTTAGTACGAAACCCCTGCATGAAGGAGGACGATATTTGTGAGCTTCTCAGGTTTGAGAGAAAACAGCTCCGAGCACGCATATCTACATTAAGAAATGATAAGTTTCTTCAAGTTCGGCTGCGGATGGAAACTGGGGCGGATGGGAAAGCCCAGAAAGTCAACTATTACTTTATCAATTATAAGGTAAAAACATGTAATAAATACAAATTTGTCATGTCTAGTCTATACAGTAGAGAGTTGATTATCCCAAACAATTGGGAGATTGTAGGTAGGTGATAACTCGGATAATCAGCCAGTGAGGGAAAAATTATTGACATTATTATAAGTTTAATAGCAATAGATAATATTATGATTTAATTATTTTACATGTTATTTTGTGTATTTTTTTGTCATTTTTGTCATTAATGTGGTTTTCCACATTAACTTCCAACGTCACTGTTGAGCTCTCATGCAAATTTTGTGAAATGGCTTTGTTTCTTTTTATTGTTAGATATTGTTCAATAAAAGGTTACCTGTGTCCGCCGGTCGATCCTAATGTATCCTATTACAGGAGATGCATTTTGGCGAAATTAAATCGCCATCATCAGTCTTAATATAAGGTCTTGAGCATCCCCATTGGGTGCGTCTTGAAGTTTTGGGAACACATACACAAACTGTACACTTATACACATGACGAATAAAACACACAAATACATGGGTAGGCCTACTTTTATTTTTACTACGGACATGAAGACGTGTGTTCGTCGTGTGACGAGTCTCGACTGGGAAACTTTATACACGACCAACACGCGTGTTAAAACAATCTGATCTATTGGTCGAGGTAGTTGTTGAACAATTGTTTTTTTTATTCAAGGGATTAGTTTTTTTTATAATAAGTGATGATATTTGTATTAAGTTAGTTTCAAATTCTGTGCTATGAACTAATGCTGGTATGGTTTCCAGAATTTGTTATTTGTTACGAATAAGCTATGGATGAAGAAAGAATTAAAAAAATAACTAGTAGATAGACTTTTGGCCAGAGTTTTTCAGATGTAGTTAATTTTTTTAAAATTTATTTATGAAACTGTTTGTTCTAGACATTTGTTAACGTAGTCAAATACAAGTTGGATCTGATGAGGAAACGTTTGGAGACAGAGGAGCGAGATGCAACGAGTAGAGCGAGCTTCAAATGTCCCCAGTGTCATAAAACCTTCACTGATCTTGAGGTATCATTCACTACTTTAAGGTTTATGTGAGGGCCTAATGAAACATTGAAATGACATAATGCAATTTTTGCTATTATATAGGTGGGTTCTATCCAAATCAGCCAATAAACAAAAACAACTAGACTAGCGGTGGATGGTGCTACTCCTCCTTAGGCCTTAGTTCTGTCAGTGGAATGTTATCAAGCAATGTACAGGGTAAGCTGGTACTGTACAAGAATGAACTGTACCAATGAATTATAAGGAACAGAACTGGGACGCAAACGAGAAACTGTACCAGTAAATAGTAAGAGACGGAGCTGGGACGCAAATCTCCCAGTTTCACTGCCTTAAATGGCTTGGAAATCATTTTCAAATTCCCCTTCTCTTCTCTCCACCCTGTATTTAGCAGTGCTGAGAATCTGTTGTTAACCGAGCAGTGGTGCTACAGTAGGTAGGCCTACTTACTTTCTAAAAATGTAATGAAGTTATATTTAGAACTAAGTCTCAAAAACAAAGTTAATTAACAAGAGGGACTCTGCCATTGGTTTTGATGGAGCTTTCTGTTCTGCTATGTGTTAAAAATTTGGAATTTTCAAAGCCGTTTGGTTTGGTGACTTTCTAAAGCCATTTTTAACACCGTGCCCAATTGTCCATAAACCCCCATTTCACCTGTTGTTTGTCATGAGCAAATAGACATCTTAAAAATTAAACTATGACGATCGCATTAATGAATTTCAAAACACACTGTAGACTACGGCCATATCCTCCTAAAAGCCGTTGGGTGACTCTGTACAGCCAGTTTTAACGTCTAGAACTGTGTGCAAAACCTCACATTTCCCCATTTATTTGTCATGAATAAGTAGACATTTTTAAAACCAACTATGACGATTGCATTCATAAATCTCAAAACATATTGTAGGCTACTGCCGTATAGGGGAGAGCGGGGCTATACCGTACACATAAGGGAGATTCGTAGTTACATCGCAAAAATCAACCTTCATGAAAAACATGAAGTTTATGAAATTTATGAAATTTCATCCCAAAATTAAAAGAAAGAAGAAAAAGTCCACAAATGTAGTTCTCTGCAGACTTCGCAGCACTGCAAGCCGAATGGACCCACCCTGAATATGAGCAGCACCCTGTACCAGAGTTGTACGGTTTAACCCCAATCTGTATCTCGTGAGAATTTATAAACATAAACTCAAATTCTATCACTTAACCAATCATCACTAATAACCAAAAGAGAGCTTAAGGGATGTAGTTTATTATGATCTCACAGTTAATAGACTAGGATATAAGCTACTTCACTAACTTTTTATTTTGTACTGGACGAAAATTAGAAGCAAGTGAGTAGAAACATGTTTTTTTACTGAAACTAGCACGCATAGAAAAACGATTCAGATACTGTAAACTTGCGCACTCTGCTGCTAGATAGCAGCACTTGTCGGGATCACCTAGCTTGAATTCTAGAGTTAAAAGAAAATGGGTGTACGGTTTAGCCCCGCTCTCCCCTACTCACAAAAGCTGTTTACTGACTTTCTAAAGCCATTATTAACGTCTATATCTGTGTCCACCTGTCCAAAAACGTCCCGTTTCACTTGTTATTTGTCCTTGTCATGAGCAAGTAGACATTTTAAAAATCAAACTGACGAACTTGCATTCATGAATTTCAAAACATAGGCCTATTGTAGATACAAAGTCATATCTCCTAAAAGCCTGTGCCCAATTGTCATAAAACCTTCCATTTCAATATGCCATGCAAGCAAGTAGACACATTTTTTAACCTTACGTTTTTCTCCATTTCATAGATCTGTCACATAATAGCATTGCCTATACAGGGTGTCACAAAAAAGTGTGATGGGCTATACATGACCTAATTCTACATGCAAAAATAAGTCAAAAATGAAGAATAACATTTTTTGGATTTCAGCTTAGTGTAGCCGTAATCCGCCATTTTGTTTTTTGGGGAAAATATTTATTATTTCAAAATCCCTTTGAGATATTTTTATGAAACGCGGCAAAATTGTTTACACCATAGTAAGTAACATTTATAAAAAAAATTATTATTTTAACTTTCCAAATTTAAAAATGGCGGCCGTTTGAATTTTTTAATGCCAAATTTCATGAAAACCGGTACCTAAATCAAAATTTTGTAAACACAAAAGTTGTAGTATTTATTATGACAAATCCAACAAAACAAAAATGAATAAAATCGGTTCATAAATAAAGAAGCTGTGTTTATTTTAGTAATTTAGACTGAAATTACTTAATACGTTACATAAATTATTACATTACGTTTAATACATTTTTAATATTGATCAGTGGCTAGCAGACAGTTTCACAACTATATAACTATGAGTATGGAACATAAGGAAATCAGCTGTTTTCCCGTCCTCGCTCGCACACTTGGCGCTCTCCTTTACCCTAGCATGTCTACAGCTAAATTTGGGATGGGACAAAACTGAATTTTCAAATATTGGGGGGGACGCGTCCCCCATGTCCCCTATGGCGGCGACGCCCGTGCTACGTTTTACAGTAATACTTGTTACATTAGCCATTAGCCTATATTTGTATCAATGTTAATACTTATGTTGACACTATCTCATGTACCAATCTTTACATTTTATGAAATAAAGATGAAAATGAAATGAAATTGGCATTGACATTGTTGTCTCAATTCAATCTAAGATTTATATCCACCAACTTCAGTGTTTTAAATAAGTTATAACAGTAATTTAGGATTAACTGGTTATGCAAGCGGCTTGAACATGTCTAGGCAGATCAGTTGTTTGACTTCGCCACAGGAGAGTTCCGATGTACGTTCTGTCGTGAGATCGTAGAGGAGGACCAGTCAGCTTTGCCTAAGAAGGACTCCAGGCTGATGTTGGCCAAGTTCAACAGTGTGATGGAGCCTCTGTACGAGCTGCTGCGTCAGGTGGAGGGCATCAGACTGGCGCCTGAGGTACTCGAACCAGAACCAGTCGACATCAATACTATCAGGGGGTCAGTAGATGGGAAAGTGTACTTTGTGTTATTCAACTGGGCATTCTCTTGTGTTGTCCTAGAAAAGTTGTAACTCTTGATTTCACTCACTGGATTTTGTAACACTACAGGTAGGTTATTTCCGCTTTTGGTGAAATTGAATAAAACCTAATTTGTTGCAAAATATTGTAATGACCAATGAACATACACAGTAAGGAATTTACAAGAGTATTTTTAAGAATACAAAAGTATCAGGACATAAAAGAATTGATTACACAACAAACAAATAAAATAACATTGACACAGGTTTGTTTAAAATATGCAACGTTTGGATTTTAATGCAATCAAGAAAGGAATATCCATTTGTTTATTAAGATCCCAATGTACGTCATTGCCTCTCAAGAATTGTAGATACATTTCAAGAGCGGCAGTGACTGTTTGTGTGTGTAGTACATACAAGATTTTCCCTACCACCATAATTAACATAACACGCAGATTAACTTTTTAGTTGCACAGTATGTACACTTTCATTTAGGTTATATTTGCTTTTTTAAGCAGGCTAATGTTATTTGCTTAAACCATATGTTAGTGCTCTAAATAGGCAACAAAAGTGAAATTACCTTATTCAGCGAGCGGAAACACATAAAACCGAAATGAGCTAGTTTGCGTACTTTTTACAGGTGTGGCAATGTGATCATTTCCATGCTGTGGTAGAAAAAAAAATAATAATTTTTAATATAAAAGCTAACTATCAAAAATTTGGCTCCAATATCTATGATCATAAATATTTCCACTTCAAACCAACAAAAGTTAAAACATTGATGTTTGTATTAACACGTTAGCTGCCAAGGCTATTTTCGGGGGGGGATTGTTGTGTTGCCAACTACATGCTCACGTAATATTTTAGTTATATGATGTTATTTATACTTATTTAGGTTAGTTATAATGTTATCTGTCCAAATACCTATAAGAAAATGGCGGAATAAGTGTCACCCCGATCGGGGTGGCACTGAAATTCGACCATTTGGGATATATTTCATTTTGTTCGGTTGGCAGTAGCGGCATTTTGGCGCGTGAAGACAACAACACCTGCTTATTACTCTACTGGGTTATGTTTACTTCTTCTTGTGTTGTACTTTTTAGCTATTTATAACCTAGTTTTCGTGTTGGTTTTCATAGTGTGTTGTGGCTTTTGTCCAATATGAGTGACAATCTTGGTGATGAAGATATCGAACGTTTTTTGGGTTTACCAATGTCAAGTGAACTAGATTATGGCAATCTGAGTGATGGTTTTTTGGGAGGTAGTCCTAAAGACAGTGATGAGTCAGACGGGGACGACGAAATGGACATCGACCAGGACTTTCAACCTACCCTCCTGTCAATGTCAGAGAGCGAGCACAGCAACAATGAAGGTGATGTAAATGAATACAATATGAGTTTATTTTCAGCAACAAACGTGACTGATACCCAGACTGAGAGTGTAAATGACCAGAATGATAGGGAAAGTATGAATGAGGATTTGGATGAGGGCGCAGGAGGGGATTATTTGAATGGTGATGTGTATGTTACCTTGGGCGAAAGGTACAAAAAACTCAAGAAAAAGGAGGATAAACTTAAAATGAAAAAAGAGGAAGAAGACAAATGGAAGTTGCCAGAAGGCAGACAAAAAAATATTGTTTTTAGCGGTAACTCAGAATACAAATTTAATTTACCAAGGACTGCACAGCCGATTGATTTTTTTTCATCTTACCTAAACGATGAAATCCTGGCGGTTATGGTTGATGAGACTAACCGAAATGCAGCGCAGGTGCTTCAGAAAATAAGATTAAATCGTAGTAGTAGACTAAGAAAATGGCGAGACACTAACGTGGAGGAAATGAAAAAGTTTTTGGGCCTTTTATTATACATGGGCCTTGTTCCCATGCCCAGAATAACAAATTATTGGTCCAGGCGACTGCTGTACCGAAACTTGGTTGCAAATCGAGTTATGAGCCGAAACCGATTTCAACTTCTACTTCGCTTCTGGCACTTCAACAATAATGACAACCTTGATCAAGAGGGCCGTTTGGCCAAGATTTTGCCACTTGTGTCCCATCTCAATCAATGTTTCAAAAGAAACAAGAATCCTGGAGAAGATCTTGTAATAGACGAGAGTATGATCCCGTTCAGAGGTCGTCTTATCTTCCGGCAATATCTTCCCCAAAAAGCCCATAAGTATGGTATAAAAGTTTTCAAGGTTTGCGACACGACCGGCTACACATTGAAGACAAAAGTGTATATGGGTAAAGGAACCGGCATTGATGAAGGATCGTCCTTGGCAATGTCTTGTCATGGACCTCATAAATGACTATTTGGACAAGGGACATACTTTGTATATCGACAATTTTATACGTCTCTGGACCTGGCCAATGTTCTTCTCACCAGACAGACTCACCTTGTGGGTACAGTAATTGCAAACCGTGCATGGTTTCCACACAAAAAGACAATCCCACCAAATTTGACCCTTGGTCCAGGAGAAATGAGCTGCCTGGAGTACCCAAATGGCACGACGTACACCAGATGGGTTGACAAGAGGGAGGTACGCATTATGTCAACGAAACACACTAATGTGTATGAAGACACGGGAAAGAGGAGTCGAAATGGTACCCCTATACTGAAGCCTCAGGTAGTTGTCCATTATAACAAAGCTAAAATGGGCATCGATTTGTTCGATCAGATGTCTTCTTACAGCTCGGCTGTAAGGAAATCGATGAGATGGTATCACAAGGTAGCGGAGGAAATGCTCCTTGGAACTGCTGTTGTCAACGCTTGGCTTGGGTACAAAGAGGCTGTAGGTGCCACTGGCCAAGCAGCAAAACGTCATGTGTACTCCATCACAACTTTCAGAGAGAAAGTGGCTTACGCTCTTCTGGGCCTTCGTGACGAAGAAATCGATCCCGTTCGAGTGACTGGCCACCATCATCTAACGGAGACAGCCAAATTTGAAGGAGAAGGCCGAAACAAAAGGCGGGTAAGATGTCACTGCAAGATCTGCTACCAACAAGCTCAGAATGCAGGCGGGCGTGAGACTGCTAGGAAATCGAAGAAAGTAAACACATTTTGTGAAACTTGCCCCCAGAAGCCGTTTTTGTGCAAGGACTGTTTTAGGAACACACACAAGTAGGCCAGTCAACTTTTTACTTTTCTAAAAGCAGTTGTCATGTTTTTATTCATTATTATACATATATTTAGTTTTTTTTAGCAATGTAATATTGTTTACAGTTTGACATAAAAGATTTCAAAAATATGTTTGTTTTCTTTCTTATCTGTTTTTCATCAGTATCACCCAAATACTTACTTTTATGTTTAGGTTAGGGAAATAATTTCAGTCATAAGAAACAAAAAACTCGTATAAAATATAAACACCAACTGAATAAGATAAACGTTACGTCATTTTATGGTGCATATTTCAATAAAGAGTAGATAAAATTGTTGAAAAAAATAGCGTCACCCCGATCGGGGTGACAACATTTCAGTACTTTGTGACGTAAGTTTGGACATTTTATAAACATCAGAATGCAATATAACATTGATATCTAGTTAGCTTGGAGTATGTATTTATAAGCCACAATGTTTGATTGCCGTTGAACATCAAAGACTGTCAAATAGCGGCAAAGAAAAAAACCCTTACAAATTACATGTGTCGCCCCGATCGGGGTGACAGTGCTCACATACGAGCCAACTGGTGGCACCCCGATCGGGGTGACGTGGCAGCTAACGTGTTAAAGTTATCATACTAGTCAAAAATTAAAGTAAAAAACTAGGGATGGACGAGATTGGATTTTTAGTTTAAGACGAGATCGTGACGGGATTTTCCTTCTCATACGCAACGGGAAATGGACGTTCAACATTATTACCTGATTTTGTAACATTGTTAGATGATTGTTTGGATACAAAAATAATAATAATAGGAAGAATATTTAAAATCTTTTATTAAAAAACATCAGCATAAAAAATGTATATTTATTACACCTAACTTATTAAAATTTGGTACGATTAGGAAACATGGTGATATCAGTTAGGATAGAGTTGAACTTATCCTAAAATAAAATAAATCATATAATAAAAGCAATATTAATTTGTATAAAATAGTTACTTGTTTTTGCTTTGTTTATAGTAGTAAAACATGCCTCACATTGCTTACACTTGACTAAACTTCTCAAATGATAAAATAATTAACGTAATATTTACATGTAAAGAATTAATTAAATAAGAATGCCTTCGAAAAGGAAACGCAACTACAACGCGCTCCTGTATTGCGGGTATTGCATTGACTTTCTACAGGCGTTTTTAAAAATTTTTGTTAATTCTCGTTTAAAAAAAATCTTGATAAAAAAAATTTTGTCTTGTATAACGAGATTTAAAATTTCCCAAAATTTTGAGACTTGACCATCCCTATCAAAAACAGAGCCAGGATCAAATAATCTGTGCTCCGTGATTGAAAAACAATGTCACCTATATCTTGCATTTGTGCCTGAATTTAGAGGGTTCAAAACAAAGATATACTCTCCAATCCAAACCATTATTATACATTGTTTTACAGTGTACCAGTATCATAAAAATTTGTTTAGTTCTGGCATTGACTTTTGGATGTTGAAGTAGTCATCTCATGTATAAGAACCAGAGCTGTCGCCAATATTTTATTAAAAAAAGAACACAGTTCTGTGAGCCAGCTAAACAACTGTGGACTTAAAACTTTAATTTGAGGATGTAACGTCTAGTTTTATTGATATTCAATGGTTCCAGTCATTTGATGTTCAATAATGAATAAATTTCATATCTATTACATTTTTGTGTGAAAGTATAATGTTTTCGGCCATATTTATTTATGAAAAATTTTGTAAACAGATTTCTATTGACTTTTAAAAGGTTGTTTTGCGTTTGTCATTTATAGAAATTGTGACGTTTAGGCAGTATCATCTCTGCTAATTTCTTTAAAACAATTATGTTTTACTTAACCTACTTAACACATTTGCTACCACAATAGTAGGCCTACTAAATTTTTCTGAAGTGGTCTACAGTCTACAGGGATATCTGTCGATTATGTACATCACTTGGTCTGTGGATAAAATGATTAGTGATGTCATATGATAGTTTGGCAAAACTGTTTTTCACTTTGCCACATCACTGGCCAGTGGTCTGTGTGTACTGTTAACCAAGTGACACCTGGTCTATGTGTAATATTACAATATATACCTTGGGCCGTGGCAATGACCGCAGCGTTGCAAATATGGCGATCGGTAGCTAACGTGTTAACTTAAGTTCTCAACTAGGCTAGTATATTGCAATATGAATTGTCAATAAAAAACCTATTGAATCCACTCCTGAATGTGAAACCACCTGGATAATCATTCCTCGGCACTTATTCCAGTTATACAGGCAAAGAAGTGGATATGTACGATTAAATTAATTAAACACAAATATTAAGATTATAGTTTTAATGTGATGCAGGCTGGACCCCAAGAGGCCGGGCACAGGCTTGAGGCCGCCAGGGGAACACTGGTCAGGAGAGGCCTCACGAGGGGGAGGCTTTGCTGTCCAGGAGGCTAGAGTGGATGTCACCATCGGAGAGGAGGAGAACACTGCGGAAGTGGCCAAGAAGGAGAGGCCGGTCTGGATGGTGGAGAGTACGGTCATTTCCAATGATCAACAGGTAAAATTGCTTTATTTTTTAAAAGAATCTGTCAACAAAATCAATTTGTAATTTTTATGGATGGAAAAAAACAAAAACAGATTTAGATGCACCTAAGTTCTTTTATTAACATGCAAGTGTGTTGTTTATATGTGTGAAAAGATGACTAACTTCATAAAAGCGATTTTTTCTTCCGTGTGATTTACAATGGTAAATATGGACCAAAACCAGTTGCCACTTCAACCACATAGGAATACTAATAGGTGTAAAACAATGGTGTAGTTATAAATTTTTCAGTGTGGAAATGGTCACCAGTGTATTGGAAATAGCCAGGTCGTCTATTAAATATATAGGATGTTTGGAAAAAGCAGATTAGGAGGGGGTTCCTAAGTTTGCCCACCCTAATACACCACTGATGTTAAACCATTTATAGTATAACTATTCTGGTCTGATAAAGTCAAATCACCAGATGTAAATGGTAAGAGTTAAGAATCTCCAAATTCAGATAGCCTATGACAAAATTACCCCACATCCACATCTATATTTTTGTAATCCTCTTTTAGTTTTATGTCATTTTTTAACATTTGTTTATTTCTCTGTGAAAAAGTAATATTTTTTGTGAAAACTGATGTAAAAGAAAATTCTGTTTTCCTGAGCAATTGTTATAAATGCTGTCTAATAGTCTCTGTGTAATATCACAATCTGTGGTAGAACTAGTGAATTAATTCCATATCATATAAGAAGGTATTGGAAAAGTTTGCATTGCTGAAGAAGAGAAACCATACAAGATTGTCATTTCAGACAAATCAAACCCTTTGACGGTTAGCCAAAATTTTAGTACTCTAAGCCATAGAGGGTCTTTTTAATTTAAGACACAGGCTGCCCCTTGATTAGATCAAATCTTGATAATAAATCAAAAGAACAGGTACAGTATATATTTATACTTATAATTTAGATAACAGGTTTCATTGTTTCATTCTTTATGGTAAAAAAATGGTTTGCTGTTCAAGAGTGTTTACCACAATAACTGTCTAATAGGATAAAAATGCTATATTACAGCTCAAAGGGAAGTAGGTATCTATGTTACAAGCATGATCATTACATTGCAGAACTGTAAACACCTTTTTTGATGTTAAACAAACATTGTTTAAGAGTCGGCAGGACCACCGATAAATCTTGGATTTTCTGCCCAAAACGGCAATTTTAATGGTTGAAGCATTTTACGGCATTGTTTATTAAGATAAAAAGTCGCAAAATATCTCATTTTAAAGTTACTGATACCGTGGATGTGATTTGCTAGCTACTTTTTAATTGTTATTATTTTGTCAAACTACATAAATATCTATATATTTAATACGCTAGGCATATTTATGTCATAATTGTTTTGGAGTGGTGGTTCTACCGATCAACATGTTCAAGGTGTTGTTAGAAAGGTCTTAGCATGTAGTTTTGCCATCAAACAAAAAACTTTGGAATTCCATCAGGGCTCTGCCCCAGTGGCCTTCAATGTTCCCATGTTATTCTTAGGGAGAAAATGTTTGTTTATATTTAAACAGATGAATACTTTGAAATTGACACTAATATTTGAAACAGTTGGTTATACCAAAGATTACATATGCTACGCAAAATAGATATTGCACCTTACGGCAATTTTGTGCCAAGTCGTTTTTGGATGGGGCCACCTTCACGTAGTTGGGTAGTCCCTCAACAGAGGCGCTGTGTCAAGTCTCGATCTGCATTACCATTCAAGTTCGGGTGTGTAACCCGCTTCCGGGTGTGTTTCGTTAATTTGTCGGGTCGGGGCGTTACGCGTCCCTGATAGCCTAGCCGAGCTGGGTTATTCCGGGGGTCAATTTTGTTCGGGTTTTCCCGCTTTTGTCTCCTAAAGTCGTTTTCCTGGCTCAGGCGGGAATATTTTGCCTCTTGGCTTTATTCGTGCCTCATCATTGCCAGGAAACGAGTGAATAAAAGAGGGAGGGCGAGATTTTGTCTCGAAGTTATATCTTCGTGCGCGACTCTGTTCACAACCTCCTCGGTGGAGTGTTAATTATTTATTTAATTTAATACCCTACGTCCATGCGCCACGGACCGAGCAGAATTAGTTTGGATGCGTCTTTATTATTTAAAATAATACAATGCGTTTCGGGCGAGTGGACTAGTTCAAAGCCCCGTGAGAGAGTAGGAATATGGAAAGGTGCAAACGAACATACAGAGTAGGGCGGAGAAGGGTCGTTATAGAAAGAGTAACATACGAGACACACACACACACACACACAGACAGGTTGAGCACACAAAGACTTATTTCGAATAGATTAAGCCTAACTAAAAACTAACTTATTCCCAGATTTTCCGGGATAGCTTAGGTCTAACTTATAAATAGCTTATTTCCGGGATAGATTAAATCTAGCTAATAACTAACTTATTTCCGGGTTTTCCAGAATAGGTTAAAGCTAACTTATAACTAACTTATTTCCGGTGTGCCCGAAGTAATAGAGAAAGAAGAAAGAAAAGTTTGTGGCAAGCAACAAACATTCATAGTCATAAAGTGACAGAGTAGGAGACTTATAGCTAAGAGCTTAAGTGCTAATTAAATCTAACTTATTTCCGGTGTGCCCGAAGTAATAGAGAAAGAAGAAAAGCTACTTAGCAAACTACAGCTAACCAAAGCAGTTAGCTGCACACACACAACACATACAACACACAGATCACTCAATTAGCAACAGTCCAGGAATCGAGGAAATGGTGAAGAATGGAAACAGAAGTTGGGGCTTAACTGTCTAACGTCACGGCGAATTAAAATTCCCAAAGCCAATACGAATCCCCAAAGCCTTAGTTAAGCGTTAATAGTCAAAGGTTAAGCAAAGGTTAAGCGTTATGCTAAGATTTGAAGCAATTTCTAAGGTTAGTGTGTTAGTAGCGGTGTCGTATCATAAGTTAGAATATTTAAATGCATATGGTTCAACACATCAATAATTAGTGGAAGGCTAAATGAATAATTAATAATGAAGTGGTAAATATGGTAAAGAATAGTAAAGCAACTACCTAGAACATTAACAGTTAATAGCGGCTAAGCAACGACATAGAACATAACTACTGTGCACTGGTTCTAGTGTAAAAGATAATGAATAGCTACAATGGTTAGTGTAGTTCTGAAATATGTACAAACAAATTAAAGCGTGTTAGTTAGTAAAGAAGCCAACAAAGTATTAAAATCACTCTAATAAATTCACTATTAATTAACTCTTATTCCCATAGATAAAATATCTCACAGCTGAAGTGCTGCTACAGTAATTACGAACAACATTAACTACAAACTAAACACCACACATTATATTTAGGTAACACCGTGTTCTCACGGACCTACGCGATGAACAAAACAAACAAAAAAAAACACACGAATATGAAAAGCCACCTTGCGTGACCGAAACCGATCGAACTTGAATAGATTTAAACAATACAAATAAAACAACACAATTAAAACAGAAAGGAATTATAACCGGGCGGATCTCGTTCTGACCGTTACTTCTTTGAACTCACGGTCTATAAATTATGTATTGAACGAAATTAAGATATTCCACAAATCAAAGCTGATCGTTATATATTTACAGAGTTATTTTAACAAAACAGATAACACTCTATGTTATAGTAAAACGATAAAGATATTCACCGGTTTAAATAAATCGATCTCTGTTAATAATTCAATTAAATTTAAGACGAAACTTCCCGCGGACGTTTGACTTAAATAGCGTAATTAATTAACAGGAAATAAACGGTAGCGAGTGAGGTCGAGTTATCCTAGGCGCCCTAGGATATTAACAACGGCGAATGTCGTCCACTTACTTGGCGTGAGCGAGAGTGTAGGGTCGGGCGTCCGTCTTCTGCCTAATTGCTCAGGCCACTGCTCCTGCTTCCTGCTGACTGTCGACTCTCGCCGACCCCGACTCACTGTCTCTCCGAGCGCCGCGCATATCCAGCGCTGTGGCTGGGGTTCCTGCGCAGGCGCGGGCGACTGATGCGCGGCCCGGTGGGACGGCGGTGAACCACAAGATCAGCTGTTGCTGAACTTGTGTCATATGCTAATTTGTTTTGTTTACATTTTTGAACTTCGGCGAATTGGCGAGGCGATTCTGCATAGTAAGGGTTTAGTTTTATTATAAATATTGACGAATTTTATGAACCCTTACAGGTGAGTTCGGTAATGTTCGCGTGCTCGGGATTTAACTTGCCTGTACGCAACGCGCTCGCCGACCCGTCGTCATCGTATCTCTAGTTTGAAAGCGCATAGCTGTCATTAATGTACCATAACTTTATCTTTTTACAAAAATGGCAGTTATTTAATTCAAAATTAAAGTGACCAAGTAACAAAGAGCTAAAGGATACTGAAGGTATACTGATTGCAGTCACAGTGATATAATAAGCTTACAATGTTATACTAATTTTTGTGCATTGAATTTTAACGTACGTTTAGAGAACCCTTAACAATTTAGAAATTTATAAATCTTATAAGTTTTAATAATTAGTGACTATTTGTGATTTCGTCGACTTTTCTGTTTTCGGAATTCGTATCCACAAAGTTTGTTTCAGGATTTCTAGACTCGCGCAATACCGGTATCTTGCTACTAACTTGCACGATGAGGAATGTAGGGTTAGTCAACTACTACCTAACCATTCACTGGCTACTTGGCCTTTTAAACATAGCAATATACACATAGTTTGTAGGAAGAACATTTATCTACACAGATCGGCATTTGTTTTCAAACTATGTAGTATTTTATCACATTATTGGTGTTTTGTAAGTGCCTTTTGCAACTGAGCTTTGAAGAAAATGTAGAACATAAGATATAAAATATAGATTTTAGATTTGGATTGTTTTATATAAAAAATCTTTCAACTGACGACTATATAAAATAAATTTAAGAACGCATAGTTTTAACAACAGTGGAACCTTAGTTGTACATAAATTAAAGAGGTTATCTTTACCACGTAAAAACGATATTTAGGTTGGAAATTGGAGGTCAGTCACACTCTCTCAATCACACGAAAGAGAACTAACCCGAATGACCCGACATCCCTATCATAACTGTTTTTAGGCATACTCTAAAGATAATGAGACATTGACAGTATAAATACTGGTGAATTTATCGCTATGTGATGAAGGGGCTGCCGCGAGACGGTGGTGATCGTCTGTAGAGGCAGTACTGAGTGTAGACTGCTGAGTGACTTATATCACAAAAATTGCTTGGCTGCAATATCTATTTTGCGTAGCATATGTAATCTTTGGTTATACTAAAATTTTGCACAAAATCAAAACATAACCAAAAAAAGTTCGACAAGACTATAAGACGTTGACCAGGACGGCCAATAGGAGGAGGTGGCCGACGAACTTCAACTGGTAGACACGAACGAAATACAAATAATGAAATAATACTATCATCGTTGATAGCCGAATACAGCAAGCACCCTTCCGTGCTGGGTTTAAGTGTGCTCTCCAACAGTCGCCAGAAGATTTAACATTCAATTTAGGACTGTTGGATAATCGGTGCATAAGCTGTTGATTTTGGAAGACAAGGAGGGGGGTAGGACTATTTTGAAAACAGAAGACAGGAGATATTAGATGAGTGGCAAATGCGTTGGGAGCAGAGTGTTCTATGTTAACGTTTTAAAGGTAAACTTTCGTATTTATACCTAACATCAGAAAGAGACTGGAACAAGATTGGGAGATGGACCATTATGAAACGCAGTTTGTCACAGGACATTGAAAATTTCAAGGCGATTTTGTGAAGATTTCACCAGGTGGAAGAGGAAGTATGTAGATGTGGAGAAATGCTCACTTCAGGAGACAAATAGGTGAGAACAGGAATATGTCTTGGATAAGATAGGTCTAGAGTTGAGAAAATAAAACATGATGAGTGACAAGGTAGCAATTGAGACGTTTAGAAAAGTAACTAGGGAAATAGGGAAAGACAAAGGATACATACAGGCATTAAAATTTAAAAAAAGAAACAAACAAAAACTAAAAAAGAAAAGGTATGAAAACTTGCCCATGAAGGGGAGAGGAAAGGTTAGAGCGAATCTCAATGATCCCTATCGCTTAGGGCGGTATGGGGAAGGGAGTCGTGCTGGCTTTTGGACATACAATGTGTCTGGAAACCCAATGCAGCTATGAGTAAGGCTATTTTTGTAGAAAATACTATTTACAACAAATGTTGATTATATCGATCTATTATGTACATCTTTAGTATTTCCATAATCTTTGAGTCAAATATTTAAAAGTCATCAGAAACAGTCAGTTATTCGTTTTAAAATAACGCCTGTAATACTTAGCAATTGCCCGAATTCGAGCAACAGGTACACTATTATTGACTTAAACTATGATTTTTTTTCTCTCTAAAACAAAAGTTTTAAAAATCAATTCACACGGAAAATATATTTAAGAATCACATACAATTTTCTGCTCGGTAATTAACTTTTCGGTGCATGATTAATATGCTTCAACGTGAACATGTTTTTGCTGATCGGCGCTCCCCGAGTTACCAAAGAATTTGGAGCGCTGTAGTCAACAGAGATAAAATTATTGACTCCTGTCAACTCCTAATATATCCTACACAGTTTTTGACACACTATTATAACAGAGTCTTCAACTTTTCTTTAGGTAACAAGATTTTTAAACTTTTCAATATTTGCTTTGGAAGTGCAATCATGTGCCTTTTAAAACCTGACTAATATTTATTTTACAGCTTCGTTGAGAGTCAAAGAAACTCATATTATGCCACATATTTTGTAAAACACTCTTTTGTTTGGTGAATTTTCCAGACACTAGGTTACTTTATTCTAATCCAGCTGATTTAACCGGAGTACAGCTGATTTTAACAAATTGTTCTAGAAAAGTATAGAAACCAGCTGCTTGGAAGTGTAATTTGTGGGAAACACATTTCAATACACATCCATTTATACATTTCAATGTAACGTGTTACAGACAGATGACCTGGTGGGAGCCAGTGCGGAGGCAGAGCGGGGGGCAGCTACTGGAGGCGGGGCCAAGTCAGGGGGTGAGGACATCATGTCTGTACTGCTGGCACATGAGAGGCGGGGCAGCACAGCCCCCGGGGCCGCAGCCAAGGCCATCCTGCCTCCGGACAGTGGCTCGGAGAGTAGTAATGACGAGGACGACACTCTCAGGGACATTAATGTTCCATCTCCAGGTAAAGTCATCAGTACTAGGGTAATATGTGCAACAATTAACACTTTCGCTGCGGCCTACTGCTATAGCAGTAGCGCGGCACTAGCACTGCACGCGGTCTACTGCTATATCAGTAGGGTGCTCGCCTGCCAAATATTGCGTCTGTCTGAGCCCAGCACTTGACCTGGGACGCTGTGATTGTTGCCAGGCTGTAGCTTAAAATACGAGCTTTATTTTGTGTGTAGGGTACTAAACATTTCTGTAAAATCCCATCTGGCAAAGCTTTTGTCCCCGTTTCGGGGATTTTCTCTATTCAAGCCATATTACTCTGCCATAGGACTCTGGTTATTGATCCTGGTCTAGTCCGTTGCTAAGTTCAGTTGTTACAGACCTAAATTCAGTTATCTTAAAATATTCTTGCCTCGGTTTGTTCAGGTCGGAGGAGGGGGGGGGGGAGTAAGAGAAAACAAAGGTTAGGTTGGATACAATGTATAATATGCAGTTTGAGATTATAAACCCTACAAAATAATTAAATAAAATACCCTTGGAACAATTTCTAAAGTTATATCCGACTACCACAGAGAAAACTTAATTAAAATTTATAATATACAAAAGTTCTCCGGCTGTACTGTAGACACCTATTTACACAATTTACTCCACAAAATCCAATAGTCTGTGGCACTATGCAGGGACGCTGAAGTGAGGTTGCACAGCAATAAATAAAAGTATAAAGTCTGTCTACCTTGGTTTGATGATCTAGGAAGTCCTTGGGTTAACTCGTTACCAGTTTGGGTTATAATTATTGAATCCAACTCGTATTAGTGTATTCCAATTTAGTTTTATTCCAGCTTCATTTACGTGAATAGAGCGAGACATGAGATCCTTTGTAGGCTATACATAAGAAGCCTGAAATAACCCATGATATAAATAACAAGTGTCTTATTATTGATTATTTCATTGTAGATAAGCATTTTAACCAAACATTTTTTGATAAGTAAACAATGCAACTCAAAAGCTTTTTGTGAGCAATATTTAAGACATTTCATTATTTTATTTTAATGAAACATTATTTACTTTTAAACATAAGCCAAGAATTCATTATACTTTTTTTAACACTCAAAAATTATGTATGACATTACAAAACAGCTCTTTTTTTTAGAAAGGGAGTATATACAGCTTTACAACAAAAAGTATTACAGCCTAATAAAAATACAAGTTTACAAGGTTAATCAATTTTCAAGGATAAATATACAACAATTGAATAATACCGGTAATACAACATTAAATTGAACCATACAATGTACATACCTGATCAATGTGCCTGGTAAAATAAACAAGTTAATTTTTACTGTACAAAACAATTAAACACATGATAAAACAATTAAACACTAGAATTAATTGATACATTTTTGTCTTTGACAAAAGAAGAGCATTTTAAAATAATTATTCATTGCAAAATCAACTTTCAGTATGTATACCTTTGTTTCTAAACAATCAATTAAATATCATTTCTCAAGTTACAAACAACAATTTATGAAAATTTTGTAACTTCAAACTTGTAACTTTACCAACAGGTTTTAGTTTGTCCAAATCTGACAGGTCTGTACAATTCAATTTTGGCAGTTTGAAATCAAATTTACAAATTATTTAAATCACTTGAAACTACAAATTTCTTGAAAACACCTTAAATCTAATAAAATAATACATGGAATAAACTTACCCTAAGGCTTCTGCAATATTTTTTGTGTTATTCAGTAAGTTAAGATAATCCTGTATGAAAATGATTGTAACACAACTCAGATTTTGTCAATTATAATATTAATAGACAAATTTAACTGCACTGTACTCCAAACCAAAATATGTGAACTAATACTGACTAAATAACAAATCTTCAATAATTATTGGACATAAATCCCCACAACGGGCAAGTAAACTATGATCCAACAAGTAAATATCCTGCTACTCAGAATTCAGAGTTAGAACTAGACACAGAATGGAAGAGTACAGAAGGGGTTTGGGGGGAGGGGAAAGGGGAGAGGTATTGTAGTTGATCGGACATGAAAGAGATGAGGAATGCACCTGAAATCCAAGGTCTCTTTGTCTATCTTTCCTGTTTCCAACATATTTTCCTAAATTCAAGCTAGCATGAATTTCTCTCCAAATAATACGTAGCTAAATAAATATATTTTTGTATTTTTCTTGTTTATATATTTTTTTTTGTATTTTCTTCCAATAAAATAAAATGTCACAATCCCACCCTTCCTTAAAAGACGAAGGCGCCTCTCTATGGTGATCTTCATGTCTAGGGTTCGTCAGGTGGTCTATCGGTGCTAACGTAGGGTCTCAAGTCTTCGATGTGCCATCTTCCAACATTCTGCCCATTTGTGTCGGCTAGTTCATAAATCAGAGGTGATATTTTCCGGTTGATTACATAAGGTCCGCAATATCTAGGAGCAAATTTTTCAATGATCTCCTTTTCTTTGTTTGACTGGGTAAATTTTCTTTTCCAAACGACGTCTCCTTCCTGAAACTCCATGTGTCCGTCTCCTCAGGTTGTATTGGCGGGCACTCCTCACATAAGCCATTGCTAATCTCTGTTTAACTTTTTCATGGACGTTCTTTAGTTCTCTTAGACGGCTCTGATCTTGAAGTGTCTCTGGGTTTGCAGTTTCTAAATTTTCTTCCAGTGGCTGCGTTATTTCTCGTCCAAAAACTAGACTGGCTGGAGTGTATCCTGTGACTTCACTTTTAGCAGTGCGAAGGGCAAATGCAAGTTTTGGAAGACAATCATCCCATTTCTTGTGAAAATCTCCAACATAAGAACGGATCATTGTGATTAATGTCCTGTTGTACCTTTCAGTCGGGTTCGCTTGAGCATGTCTCCTAGCATTGAAGAACATTTTAACCTGGTAAGAAGCACAAAGGTTTCTTGTTGATGCTCCTATAAACTCAGGTCCGTTGTCTGAAATAAGAGCACGGGGTATTCCAAATATTAGAAAAACTCCTTCTTCTAGATGCTGGGCGATTAATTTTGATGATAGAGATCTTAATGGAAAGAGTAGTGTAAACTTAGAAAACAGATCGGTCACAACTAAAATGTACTTGAATCCTCTTGACGTACGTGGAAGTGGTCCGATGACATCTGCAGATATGATTTCAAATGGTGATGAGGGGAGACGGGGGTTCCCCATTAGTCCTACAGGTTTCTTCTGTTCAGGTTTTGAGACTTGACATGTAAGGCAGTTCCTCACATACGATGCCACGTCAGCTTTCATCTTAGGCCAATAATACAATTGTGATGCACGATTATATGTTTTATAGAACCCAAGGTGGCCTGCACATTGGTCATCATGACATTCTCGATACACTTCATGTCGAGAATCCTTTGGAACAACAAGTTTCCACTCAAAGCGGCGATCAATTTCCGGTTGTCTTGGCCTAATGTATTTGTAGAGGTTATTTCCTTTAACCTGCCATGAAGGGTACTTTTCGGGATAATTTAAAACACTATCAAACATTTTCTGGAACCAACGATCTTTAGTATCTTGCTTTACTTCAATCAAAGCTAAGTCAATTTCTTCTTCTTGAGCTTCCTTTGTTGCAGTTCTGTGTAGGTCAGCTACTGCGTTATCTTTGCCTTTCCGGTGTTTTAATTCAAAATCAAAAGCTTGCAGACGAACTGCCCACCGGGCTAAACGTCCTCTGGGATCCTTAAGGTTTGCTAACCAGATTAGACTATGATGGTCGGTATATACAGTAAACTTGGCTCCTTCCAAATATGATCTATAATGTTCAATTCCCCATATAACTGCCAAACACTCTTTTTCAGTTGTGCTGTAGTGTTTTTCAGCTCGGTTTAGAGTTCGGCTTGCATAAGAGACTACGTGTTCTCCATCCTCATAGTGTTGTGTAAGAACACATCCAATTCCTACGTCTGACGCATCACAATGTAGCTCGAATGGTAAATCAAATTTAGGGCAAGACAAAATTGGTGCACCTATAAGAAGTTGTTTGATTATGCGAAAGGATTGTTCAGCCTCGTCATTCCATTTGAACACAACATTCTTGTGCAATAATTTGGTCAATGGTGCAATTTTTGTTGCATAATCTGGTATGAATCTTCGGTACCAGGATGTGGCTCCAATAAAACTTCTAACTTCCTTCTTTGTAGTCGGTGAAGAGATGTCAGCTAAGGCAGAAACTTTATCTGGGTCAACATGAAGTCCTCTGTAGTCAACTTTGTATCCTAAATATTTCAACTCCGATCTACACAATTGAGTCTTTTCTTTGTTTATGGTTAAACCTGCAGCTATTAAACGTTCAAAAACTTCACAAAGAACATTGATATGTTCAGAAAAGGTTGAAGTGACAATGATTATGTCATCGAGAAAAACAAAAACTGAGGGCTCTAATTTCGGTCCTAATATTTGGTCAATTAATCGCTGCCAAGTAGCAGGAGCATTGGTAAGACCGAAGGGCATTCACTTAAATTGATAAAGACCCCTGTTGGGTATGGTGAATGCAGTCTTCTCCCGGGAATCTTCTGCGATTTTGATCTGCCAATAAGCAGATTTTATGTCAATGCTGCTTAAATATCTCGCATCTCTCAGTTGGTTCAGTATCTGGTTGACATAAGGAATAGGATATGCATCTTTCCTTGTGAGAGAGTTCAGGCGACGATAATCAACACAAAAGCGGTAAGTGTTGTCAGGTTTTCTTACCAAGACCACCGGTGATGACCATGCACTAGTACTAGGCTCTATGATGTCATGTTTTAGCATTTCGTCCAATTCTTGATCAATATGCCGTTGAACATTTGGCGAAACTGGATAATATCGCTGCTTCACTGGTGCAGCGTCACTGGTATCAATACGATGCTCCACGAGTGATGTACAGCCATACTTAGTTGTCATTTGAGGGTAATACTTGTTTGTGAGCTCCAATAGTTGACCATTTTGTTCTTCTGTTAAGTGTTCTCTTGAACATATTGCTCGGTTATGACTTTGTAGTCTATTTGTTTCA